TAGCTCAGTGGTTAAGGCATTAAGCTGCTATTGTGAAGACCCTGGTTTCGATCTCCGGTGTTGACTTGAAGCCCACCCAGATCTATGGGTGTTAGCTTGTCTGGGAAGCAAAGGCGACCAATGCACAAAGCTGACCACATTGCCATGCCGTTGGTCATGAAATCGTTCAACCTGAACCTCCATGACCCACAACGAGTATTGTGGGAATACTTTACTTTAGATGATTTTTTTTTTTTTTAAGTGTTATAATTTTCCGAAACTTAATTATTAAATTTATTGAAAAACCATTTAGTTGTTCTTCACAATATATTTTCTAAGAATCAAATATTCATGTGCTAAAAAATTTAATTGTGTGATAAAATAACAGTGAAAGATTTAATGTGTTCTTAGTCCTTCATTGGATGCCCCCTTAGAATTTTGAATCTTTGTTTCCCTTATTCCACGCCACAATCTCTATTTCAAAAATGCTCCTTTAATAAAAGAAAACGGAAGTTGATTTACTTGTAAACATAAATTTTAAGCATATTTAAATAGAAATTTACTAATCATCAACTTTCTGTAAAGACCTATAAGGAGAATTTTATTTTAACATACACTTAAAAAAATAAATGAATCATTGGACCTATTATAATTTTAATTAAATAAAAGGTTCGAGGCATTTAACCTTGGTGCTTTTACTATGAATAAAATGTTCAATTTTCCTATCCTATCCAGATTATCTATGAATTGAAAATCTCACTTATATGTCATTGAGCCGCGATGGCTCAGGGGATAGAGCGTTCGCCTTCCAATGCGGCGAACAAGGTTCGAATTCCAGTCGATACGAATTCCACATCCGGCTTGCGCCGACCACAGTGCTGACTTGAAATATCCTCAGTGGTAGACGGATCATGGGTTAAGAGTCCCATTACCGTCAGGTTAACCGTGGGAGGTTCTCGTGGTCGTCCTCTCCATGTAAGGCAAATGCGGGTTAGCTCCCTCAAAAAGTCCTCCACGAAGGCAAATTTTCCCCAATATTCGATCCGGGAGTTCCCTTGTCTTCTGAATTGGGTTCAAAATTACAAGGCTACGGAGTTGAACATTAGTAGTCGTAAACCCATAAAATTGGGTCGGCTGTTCAACGACGGTTATAATATAATATATGTCATTTCTCTGTTTTCTGTATGTACATATATGTGTATAGAAAATCACCAAAAAAAGAACACCTGATTGTAAACTTATACGAAATAAACAAAATGAAGGTGGGAGCTTTCATTTCATTTATTATTTATAAATATTTGTTTATTAATCTTCTCACCGTTATTATATTTACACATTGTTATTCATAAGATGTATTAAGTCGGTAGTTTCAGAATATTATATTCTTGGTTATAATATGCATTTAGTTTTTCGTAATTTTATTTTATTTTTCTTAATATGTGACTATTACTTTACTGAAATACAAAACATTTTAAATAATAAGACAGCAAGCATATGATTCAATATTCATTAGGTCATTTTTGGTTTAGCTTTTTGTCTTATAAATAAAAAAATTCGAACAATGTTCATTTTTATCTACTATGTAACTGACAATATCAGGTTTATATATATCAAATATCAATACTTGAAAAGTTTTGTTGATATTGATTTTTTTTTATTCGTGATTACTTATTTATTTATTTATTAATTGGAATGACAATCAAACTGTTCAGTTTGTCGTTCGTCTGGATAAAAAGTTTTGGATATATTTAGAAATAGCCCTGAAAAGCCATGTTTATTTTTACGTACGTAGTTTACTACTCAATACTGTACAGTTCCAATAATAAAGATCTAGCAGCCAATTTGTTATTCATCAACTTTAAAGAGTTAAATTATTAATACATAACAAACAGAAAAATTTACCTTCTATTATTGTTTGTAATACAATGGTATAAAAGGCGATTGTTTGTCGCTGAATTGATTAAAACTATTCGTAATGACAAAAGACTTCAGACTTTAGAAATACACCCCTGGTAACGAATTTTCCGTTATCTTTTTTTTTCTGGTTTTCATTTTGTTCGATTTACTATAGATTAAACCGTAATGTTTTGAATTTGCTTACAGGCTAATTAGCCTATACCAGCTGCTCAATATTTTTTTTCGTCTATGAAACCCCAAATGATCGACCCTCTTTTGGCGGGATCACGAAACTAAATAAATTTTTTCAGCGATTGTGAACATAAAATTTAACACAAGACCTTTATTTTTAAAATATGCTATTATCTAAATTTAAATAAGTATTTAAAAAACATTTAGTGAATGAAATTTTTTTATCATATCGTTTTATCAATATTAGTCTTAAAATTGGGTCTTACATCAGACAATTGAATTTACATGTCTAAAGCGCAGAGCCGGATTTAAGTTTGGTGGGGCCCTAAGCTACTGAAAATGATGGGGCCCTTATAATTTCAATTCTATTTCCATACACCTAAAGTAAACTGTAACTATTTTTTATTGTTGAGTATTAACATTATATTATTAAAAAATTTGATAATATTACTTTATTGCTAAATATATTAATTGTGAGGAGACTATTATGTAGAACCTTTCTTTTATTGCACATATTTTTTGAATTAGGGGAAAAAGTTACAAAAGAAACACATTTTAAGAACAGATTAAAAATTTGGCGTGCTGGGCCACTATATATTTAACATAGTCTTTTTTCAGATTCATTTTGAATATATTTTATTTGCAATTTTTAATGATTTTTTCGCGAATTTTTTTCTCAATTGTTTTTTTTTACGTTACAAAATCTATAAGACTTAGAAACATGAAATTTTGAATGTGCCTAGAAAGTATGCAAAGAGTTAGAAAGAAAACAAGAAAATACAATTTGATTATTAGTTTTATTTTTTTTTATAACCGCCGTTGAACAACCGACTCAATTTTGAGTTTACGCCCTATCAACCAGGCTTTTTATTAGTTTATTTTATAACAGTCATTGCACAGCTACCCAATTTCGACTGCTAATATTCAACTCCGTAGCCTTGTCATTTTGAACCCAATCCAGAAGACAAGGGAACTGCTAGATTAGTACGCAGAGGTATTTATTTGTTATGAGAACTTGGAGGACTTTGTGACCCCGACAGATTTAACATGCACCAGTCACCATTTTATACATGGGTATTCTTCTGCCGGCTGGATTCAAACTCCCATTCTCACGAACTCGAGTCCAACGCCCTATCAACCAGGCTATCCCGGCGAAATTTATTAGTTTATTTTATAACAGTCATTGCACAGCTACCCAATTTCGACTGCTAATATTCAACTCAGTAGCCTTGTCATTTTGAGCCCAATCCAGAAGACAAGGGAACTGCTAGATTAGAACCCAGAGGTATTTATTTGTTATGAGAGCTTGGAGGACTTTTACCACTCTGAAAATTAAAATTGAAATAAATGTTATGTATTTTAGCCCTGTACCATCGGATGTTTATGAAACAGAAGCCACGACGACTGCTAACCGTAATTATCTCAATTCACTCAAATATACACTAGTCTATAAAATGAATGGGTGCTGCTCAGCCAAGGTATCAAAACAAACTAGGAACTATCGGATGTAATTTGAAAACACTTTATCTCTCTCGCATAAAAAAAAACTCAAATCGTAAAATGTGGGGAAAGTTTCGGGAAAGAGATCTAAGAAATAAAAGATAACTCATGTCCACTAAAATACATTAATATTTTAATACCTATGTTTATACTTCTTCATACCTGCCAACTCTTCCGGATTTTCCGGAAGATTTTATTTTCATATTTTAAGTGGTAGTAAATATATACTATTTTTTCTTTTATAAACTTAATTTTCAAATGATTTTGATCACCACTATTCTTACAAAAATTAAGCACATATATTAATATGCGTTACTATTATGATTGTCAACTTAAGTTTTCTCAAATACAACGTATTTGTTTGCTTAAAATTGAAGTTTTAATTCCATTTTAATACCACTGGAAAAAATGATAATGGAAAGGATTAAAAGTTGGCAGGTATGGAATATATATTCAAAATTAAAATGGTAGCTAAGAGAAGAAAATTTTTTACGAAGTTTAAATATGATTTAAAACACATAATATCACAAATATTTACACATTGCATTAGTACGTAACCCACACAATTATACAAGTTCGGTCGTAAAGGGTTAACACGTTATAAATTAGTTCAATGAGGAACAGACTAGATTTCAGAAGTTTTCAACTTGCAGTTTTGTTATTTAATATTTAAATTGCTAAAGAAAAGAAGCTATACAAATAATAGCAATAAATGACAATTAATATCCTAATGACATAAAATTTCTACATGATTTTATGTTTATCTAAGAGAACTAATACATCCTTAGCTATTCTAAATACGAAGTTAATATTTATATTTGGATTAGAATTTTAAGACCTAAATAAATTTAAAGTGGTTTAAAATAGCACTTTGTTCTGAAAGAAATGTATATCATATATAGAAATACAATACCACTGTATTAGTTATCTGTTATAAGATTAATTTAAAAATTAAGAAAAAATGAAATCTAATATTTTCTCTTTTTATGTTTATTTTCTTTTTTCTTTTATTTTAATTTTTAGAAAAAGCAATCAACGGAAATTTAAACCTTAACTAGAGTAAATTTTTATTCCTCTTTTTTGTGTTCTTTTTTTCCAGAAATTTAACCAATAAAACAAGTTTTGCTACCACTTTTTTCAAAGACAGCAAAAACATCAGAATAAATATTCACATACATTGATCAGTTAGCGTTTAACGTCATATTTAAAAGACCAGTTTTATTTTTTTTAAAAGAAAGGTAAATTTGCGGTAAGTATGTGATTTGATTATAAGCATTATCTTGGTTAAACAATGAGTATCCACTTAATTTACGATAAGCGGCATTCGTATCGCGTAACATATGATATTATAATTAATGATAGATATTTAAGGTCTACAAATTATATCAAATAATCATATATTCTGTTACAATAGTGAATAAATTATTTTTCAGGGCTTTCAGTAATAAAGTTCATGCACATCAATGAAAACCGATTTCAAGAAAACCATTACACCTGAATAATACAATGAAAAAAAAAACATGGTTTGCTTTCTAAAAAGATTGATGGACTGCTATATGATGAATTGATATTTTTCTAACAGAAAAGAGCTGATGTTGCTTTAAATATTTCATGTCAAATATAGAATTTCCTTGCTTAATGGGTTTAACTACAATGATTTTGTGAACAGAAAAAGAAGTTTATGATGAAATCTTTAGATAACGTTAAATTTACATAGTTGTAATCATTTCACGCCAATGCTAGCCAAACATGTGATTTTATATATTGTGATAACGGAAACCATGTTTTAATTATTAAAAGAAACACTTATTTAATCCACGTTAAGTGGCACCTGCTGGTCAGGATTGTTGTTTTATGCTTCCTCTTTATTTTTAAGTAAAGAGTTTTTTTTAACATATTGAATCAAATTTTCCAAAGATATCATATTTAAGCGCACAAATCAACGCACATTAATCTAAAAAGAAAAGAACAAAATGGTTGTTTTAGTGTTGTTTATGATTGCCACAGTAGTTGCTTTGGTGCTATTTGACTGGTATGTAGAAGAACATACAAGCCAACCTCAAAACTCAAGACCATTTGCAGAAGAACCTCGTGCGGAGAGATACTATAGTTCCAGTAGTATATTCACTGTACTTGGATTTTCAAGGGAAGATGTGAGAACTTTTACAGCATTTAGAGATAAATTCAGGAGCTATGCTGAGGTTACGAGTGCCATGAGACGAGCTGGCTTAGAAAGAATGAGGCTGATAGTGGCCATTGATTTCAGTGCCAGTAATGAATGGCAAGGAAGGAGATTTTTTAAAGGTACATTGCTTATTTAGTTATGCTATAGACATTTGTTATATTACTAGTAGTATGCATAATGTTCAATCCAATTTTTAAGCTTAGTTAAACGTCCTTGGAAAACAGAAAATCTGGTAGTTAAGTTTCTAAAAGGGTTGTAACATAACTTTCTAATTTAACTTAACCTTTTTCAATACTTAAACCTTTCTAATTTAAAATTCTCAGCACATAAATATCTACCCAGAAATAATTATTATTAGAAGTCTGAAGCAGTGGGTTATCGAATATCCCTTTAGAAAAGTAAGCATTTTTTAACAGTGTCATCAGGCAGGACGCTGGTAAGTCTAGTAATAAATTGTTTAATTTTAATAGTAATCTTTTAGTTAACATTTGAAATGGCTTATACAGCGTATACTTTTCGTATTTCTTATATTCCGCTCCGTGCAGTATAATATTCAATTGTATAAAAAAATACTCTATTCCACCCAAATATTTTGGAGCATTTAATGAAATAAACAATTTTAGACATTTATATTTAAAAAAAAGTATGACAACGAACATTCAAGCTCTAAATCTCGAAGCGGGTAAAAAAATATCTTCAAAGGCTTTTCTGCAATTGTTTACTTTTGTATCTGTTATGCACTTTAAGGTCTACATATTTTCTGGCTTTTAAATTTTTCTTAATTTCATAAATTTAATCATTCTTAATCCCTTTCAAACAAATAAATCAGTTTTTAAAAAAAATGTTCTGATGCTCGATTATTTTTAAATACCATAATTAAACTAGTATACTTTTCAAAACATTTAAACAAAAAATCACGTAAAGAATAATTAAAAAAAAACAACATTTAAAGCATATAATGTTGAAGAAATGAAATTCTATTTTACTACGATACATTTATGAACTCATAGGACACGTTAAGTGATAATAGAAATTAAAAATGAGAGTGAGCAAGATTTTTTTAAAATTAAAGTCGCACAGTAAACAACCGATAAGGATAATAATGTTCGGATAAGGATGCTTGTGGACTAAAATGGAGTATTAGTTTCCCCTCTTGGCTTAGATTTCGCTACAAACTTGTCTATCCTTAGGATAATGATTTTGCGGGAAGGCACTTGATAGAGTAGCTTTAGGGTAACCGTAACCGGAAAAAAACTCGATTTTAACTATCTTTCATGAGATGTCTTCCATGTGTTATTAAATGAATTTACTTTGACGATTCGGAGTGCATGTTTGCTTTCAAGCAAAGAAAAATTTTCTCCCCTCTATGTAGCGCTCGGCAGGGAAATTTTTTGTATACATTTTCCCTTCTTCACTGGGGTTAACTTTTAAAAAGGTTGTAGTTAAAATATTACAATTTGTAGCTTTAAAGTATCTTTTGGAAAACTTCTCCAAAAACTTTTTACCTGCACTTTTGAGATGTTCATTTGAAATGCTATAATGCAGTAATCAAACAGCGTAATCGCGACTTCTTATTAGACTGATTTAGTTAAATAATCTACGATTTTCAGGTGAAATGCTGCATGCTTTGAAAGGAAGTACAGTCTTCAATCCGTATCAGAAAGTGTTACATACTTTAGCTCCTGCATTCACTCCTTTTCTGCATAGTCAACCTATACACGCTTATGGTTTCGGAGATGTTCGCACAAAAGATTACGACGTGTTTCCCCTAAAACCATCGGGAGCAGCACTTGGGTGCATGGAAGATGTTTTAGATGCCTATAATCATAGTGCACGCAGAGTGAGTATGAATTTACGATAGTTTTAATTTTTACGCTTTCAGCTTAAGATCAGATTTTATGAAAATAATAATAAAGCAGTAAACTTTTTATCCCGACTTTGGACAAACCATAAAATGGATAAATTTGTTACAATTTCTTAATGAGGAATTTTCCTCAAAGGAAGGAAAAGGACTTTATCATCTTTATAAAATTGTAAAATAAAACGAAAAAATTCTAAGAAATGTCTGGCGGTCAAATTATTACGCACAACCTCATAGAGACAAACTATCATGAAGCAAAATTTCACTCTATTCAAATGTAACAGCAGATCACCGAAGTCAAGCATCACTGGCTACGGTCAGTGTGCGGGTGGGTGACTACTTGGATCAGTCTGCATAGGGACCGAGAGTGTGCGGTATTGGTCCTCGTTAAACTGTGCTACCGTAAAGTGTTCGACTTCGCGCGCAGGTCGTCGGGCTACCGAAGCGGGGGTGCCATCCCCTCCGCAGAGGATCAAAATTGTGATGGCATGTCTTCGGATCATCCTCCGGGATGTTTCCCAGACCGTCGCCAATAGCCCATTGTGCAGCTCTAGTGCGACGTAAATTAACAACAACAACAACAAATGTAACAGAATCTCAAGCGGGGAAAATACTTATTCGCCGTCTACCTTTATAGCTTTACTCCAGTGTTTCCCAAAATGTAGTACAGGGGTATGGGGATAGTTTAGCGGGGTGAAGCGTTCTTATGCGAAATATCTTACAACAAACGAAAATTTCCAAAATTTTCATTTAAAAACGAAGCTAGCCATGAAAATTTACGATTACGTATTTTTCTATCAGTTATTTTTTGCAGAGTAACAATTAATAATTAGTGGTGTCAACAGCCAGTTGTGATTTTTAACTTTTGTCCAATTTTTTATAGTAAAAAATACATTTATTTTTTAATTAGTGGTACACAGCGTTACGAAAAATTTAGAAAGTGTACACAAAAATCATAAGTTTGGGAAACACTGCTTTGAACATTGATTTCTGCGTGATGGGTTCGTAGGGAATTCAAACATCTTATTTCCAGACAACAAATTAGTACTTCCATGCATAGTGCACGAAAAAGCAGGTCAACTACCCACACTTGCAAACAAATTTTTCATCATCGAAAACAAATAATTATATTAAAAAATAAATCGAAAAATAATGAAGGGAAAAAATAGAAATCAATCCAAACCTCTACCACAAGTGAAAACAATCTCTGCAAATACTGCTCAATTATATTAAATAAGTAAAAAAATACAAAAAATAATAATAAATAAATAGAAATTAATACAAGCTAATCTTCTACCGGAATTCGAAACAACCTTTGCAAATACTGCCTCCTATCATGAGAACACGAAATACGGTCGAGATTTAGTCAATAGTAGTGGGAAAAATCGTAATTACTGTAACATTTAAACGCAACATATTGTCAAAGACCAGACAGCGATAAGATACAAAACCGATAATCGTGAGATTACAGAAATAAAATTATGAACAGCTGTAATGTATTGTTTTAAGTATTTGACTAATGTTACGTAACTTAAAATTGAACACTCTTTTTTTTATTTTTACAATCGCTGTTAATTTTGTAATTGTTAAATAGAATCGTGTACACCAGAAATGCTTTCTTAGAATTATCGAAGATTTTTCTAAAGTATTGGGAAAGTATTCACATACATTTTAACAGTTAAAGAGACTAAACGTAGGAAATAATTATTTTAGGGATTTTTTAAAAATCTATTTTTTACTGCAAATGTGACTAATATAAAATTTTTATTTTGGATACAAAAAATTTTTTTAGCGTAATATTTTCTAGATTATTTGTTCTACATTTCCCATTATGGTGGTGACTAACCGAAATTAAATTAATTACAACCTGTAAAAAAATTCCCACGGGAAACAGCTACTAGACATTCACTCCCAATTTACATTATTCTGCATAATATATTCCCGAGTATATTTTTATTCGCCTCGTGTGATTTGATCACGATAACTCATTTCATATGCTAGTCATAAATAAACAAAGTTTAATTTGAAGTCTGAGGCATGTAAAATTTTTTTTAGTTCGTAATATAATAAAACCCCGTTCTGGAATACTTCATAAATGTTAAAGGGCAATTCTATTATTTACGAATGACATATTTGCTGACTTTTTAGGCACATAATTCAGTTTTTTTTCTTTTTTTTTTTAAACAAACAAATAAAGCTATTCTAATAACACAAACCAGAGACTAAAAAATTGTTTAGAAACAAATAACTGATGCTAATAACTTAGGATATTGATTTCAAGATAAAAAGTGAAAAATTTCCACCTTTAATTATTTTTTCACAATTCAATTCCGGAGTTCCACAATTAAATACGGATTGTATTGTAATCCACTGAAAAAAAGAGTAAGCATATAGTGTCACAAGCTCCTCTATGGTCGTTGGTCGTACTAAAACAGAAGATATTTACGCTAGTTTGAGATGTAAATAAATAAATAAAAATTTTTAAGCAATAATATCTGTGCAATTTTTCTTCTTTTTTGATGGACTATAGTTTAAAATGCTTCTATAAGGGAAGAGGCTTTATAAGAATAGAAACTTGCTTATGCTGTTTATGAGTATGCCGCTTGGACAAGGCAACAAGCATGCTAGAAATGGCCCTTGTGAATTAAGTCAGAAAAAGTGCGCCTTTCGTTTTGACAAGAGAGCACCGCAATGGTGAAAGCAGTACGTCTACGCTCTGAACCTCCCAGATAGACAATACCACTCGTGAGGCAATTTCCACAATTTTGACATAGATCTGAAGAAAAAGGAAGTTTTCTCCAGATCCTTAAAACCATGGTACTGCTCAGCGACCGACCACAAAGCTTTTGATTCCATAGATTTTACGAACACGTATATCGCATGTACTTGGTGTGTCTTAGCGTAATCGAAGATCGAACCCCGGTCCCTCCGACCCAGAGTTCGATTCTCTAACCTCTGGGCTTTCACGATTCGAAAAGAAACTTAAATGTTTCCATCAATATAGTTGAAGAGTTGTTTCTAACTTATTGTTTTTTCACTGAATTGAACAAAATCAATCCCAAATCGATAGATAGCTTAGATGAAGTTTTTAATGATTTATGTACAAAAAGTACACTTTTGTACTAATTTGTACCATTTTTTTTTCACTTGGATCTATTCAAGCATCTGACATTTACCAACTCGGCTTGCTTTGTTTCTTACGTAATACAATTTTTGTGTTAAGTCCTATAAAAACAAAATTAAAATAAATTAAACTCTTATGTTTAGCTACTGATTTTCTATTAACGTTCTTTTCCTAGTGAATAAATGTTATTGTTTAACATATTAGATTATTTTAAAGATTTATTTAAACAATTCGAATATTTAAAATAAATTTGACAGATTTGATTAATATAGTTCGATTTGGAAGATTTACCGTTCACATTCTACACACATAGCAGTTTGTTAGATTGTGAAATATGTACAAATTTTATAATTACATATTTACATTAATTTTACATGATAAATACAAAAAACTAAAATGAATTAATGAATCATTTTTAAAATATGTACGATATAAAATTCAGCAAATAAAAATTGTGATTGTCAATTTAAATGGAATAAATTCATAGTCAAGTTATAAAATGTACAAAATATGTATAAAAGACTTACGAATTCCAAACTTAAAAGTTTGAGCCAGTGATTTATGAAAGTTCGAACATTTCGCTACTAATGCTAGAGGAAAAAAAAATAGAATTATTGCAAATAATTTTTCCATCTCTGGCTGTTGATGTACTCTTCAAGTATATCCTTAATACACAGTTAAACCAAAGAACCTAGAACTTACTTAAAATATTGTTCCAATTTTTTCAAAATATTATTTTTTATGCATCGGTTTAGTTCTTTGTCACAAGAACGCTATTTTAATTTATTTGAAATAATTTATCGTCTGCGTTTTACTTCAGAAAATTATTTATGCGTTTTTATTATTATTTTATTGCGAATAAAAAAGAAACGTTAAATTCACATGAAAAAGTGTGAAAACTCCAAATTAAGTATTATTTAAAAGTCGCCGAAAATAATTTTTTCTAAAATAATCTTCACCGATAACTTCATTTTGGCCAGGCATTCGTGCATTAATAATAGGTTTCCGCAGAAATGAGCCCTTCAAAGTTTAACAATACTGAAGTCCATCAAAAAGAACAATGGATATCTGTTTTAAAGCTATAAGTTGAGCTAAACCCTCAACTGCGGCTTTTTTTTAAAAATGAACCATTCAAATTTTAGAATAATAAAATCCTTCCATAAAAAGAAAAAAAAAACCATAGAAATTTATTCTTAAACTGAAAGAAATTTGAGTTGAACCCTGAACCGCGTCTAATTACTTTTTACGTCTGATTATTTTTTTATTGAACTATTCTAAGTGAAGCCCAGGGGCGGATCTACCTAAGGGCTTTTTGGGCTGCAGCCCAGGGCCCCGTGGATACGAAGGGCCCCAGTCCCCACTGAAAACAATAGGTGATATTTTGAATTTAAAAAAAATATCTAATATTAAAAAAAAACTTATAAGGTTGGCAACCCCGAGATCAATCAACCCATGCATGTGCGCGTCTATCGAACGGAACGGGAAATTCCCCATCACTTGTTTTTGGCCAGTGTATTTTTTCGTGTCTATTACGGGGGACTTTCCGCCGAGCCGCTTAACGCCTACGTAATTTTTTTTCCGCACTTCTGCTCTCGTCGTCAAAGTGACAAACTTGTTTAGTTTACTAACTTGTTTAAAAAATCATGAAGATTCTAATGAACATAAGAAACCAATGTTAGTGTGGTTGACACGAAAAGAAAATAGACCTGTTTTAGACAAGCAGCTTCAGAAACAATTAAGAAAAGAAACAGAATATTATCACTATGTCCTAAAACAGGTTATTGCAGTGGTCAAATTTTAAGTATAAGGGACTTAGCATTTAGAGGTTCCGAGGAAGTATTTGGCTCTCCACATAATGGTAATTTTATGGGTGCTCTGGAGCTATTGGCAGAGTTCGATCCATTCATTCGTAAACACAGTGAACAACGAGAGCTGAGACCAAAATCGATAATATCGTACTTATCAAAAACAGTATATGAGGAAATAATTGAGTTTATGGGCCAACAGATAATTAAACAAATTATAACTCAAATAAATAACGACGACACAAAGTATTATTCAATTGTGGTGGATTCTACTCCAGATCTATCTCACAATGATCAACTTGCTATTGTATTACGATACTATTTTCGGGGAAAAGTGTATGAAAGATGTGTATCCTTCATTAAAATTTGTAGTCATACTGGCTTACATTTATTTAATATTCTACAAGACGTTTTAGAAACAAATGGACTACTACTGGATAATTGTAGGGGACAATCTTATGACAACGCTGCTAATATGGCGGGTCACTACAATGGTGTACAAGCACTACTAAAACAAAGAAATAAATCCGCGGATTGTGTGCCATGTGCTGCTCATTCCCTTAAGTTGGTGAAGAATCTGTTAAGGTTGCAACCAAAATTGTGAACTTTTTTGGAGTAGTGCAAAAAATATACTTTTTCTTTTCTACTTCGACCCATAGGTGGGAACTGTTAAATCGTGAAACAAAACTCAAATTTACGTTAAAAAGTTTAAGACAGACTAGATGGTCTTGTCACTATGATGCTGTCAAAGCTTTGAAAAATAATTATGATGACATTATGAAAATTTTCGAAAGTTTCAGCGAAAATGAGGATGAGAAAGTTGATTTTCGGAAAGAGGCACGAAATTTATTCAATAAAATGGCGAAACTCGATACTGCAATTTTGATTATTTTTTTGGGAAGAAATTTTGGGGAGATTTAATTTAGTTAATAGAAAAATACAGAGCCCTGGATACATAGATGTAGATATTTGATATAATTGTGATATTTGTGAAGGCGACAAGTTAATTGTGTCATTAAAAGATTTCGTGAACAACATAAGGCACCAATCAGATCAGAAGCTAAAGGAATACGAAGAGAAAGCTAAAAAATTAAGTACTAGTGTGGGAATTGACAACAATGACATAAACAAGAGACGCATTACTCCAAAATTTTCGGATAAGTCTACAGCTAAATTCTCAGTATACGGCGCAGAAAAATTTAAAAGAGACACTCTAAACGTTGTGTTGGATAAGCTGATTATGGATTTAAATAAAAGGAGCCAAGTCTATGAGATGTATAGCAAGAAATTCAAATTTTTAATGGATTTGCAAGACGAAAATATGGAAAACATAGATCGTGTACGTAATATTTTTTATTATTATCCAGAACACGTAGACGAGCATTTAATGAATGAGTGCATTCAGTTAAAATCTTATTTACTTCAGCCTAAGCCAGTCTTACACCTCTTGCAGTGAAATTTTTATGCTAATTTAAGAAAAGAAACTTGTTGATGTTTTCCAAATTGCTATACTATCTTAAAGATTTTTTTAACTTTACCAATCACTAGCTGTGAAGCGGAGCGCTCTTTCTCCAGGATGTCATATACAGAAAACAAATATAGGACAACAATGTCTAACCATCGACTAAATCATTTATCAACTCTTTCCATAAATTCTGATTTAACGAAGGACTTACAATGTGATGAGCAAATAAAGGAATTTGCAGCACGAAAATGCAGAAAGGTTGCTTTATAATTTATACAACATAACTACACATAACCTGTCAATTTCTTTTGCAATAATGTTGTACAGTTGCTGTTTGTATACACAAATAAAAATAAATAAATAAAATTATTTTATTGTCCTATTTTTTTCTATATGCTTATCTACATCACTACAGAAAACAGTTTTTTTTTGACAAAATGGCTATTAGGGCCCCTAAGTAGTTTCAGCCCAGGGCCCCACAAATTCACGATCCGCCCGTGGTGAAGCCTAATGAAATATTTAAAGGACAGAAATAGCAATAGAAATTTGCTATTAATAAAGTTGAGTTGATGCCCTCAACTTACATTTAACATTAACAGTTTGGCAAATATTTAGCCATTAATGAAATTTCGATCGTTATTGATAGCTAATTTTAAGAATATATAGTTTAGGTAATACCATAAAACATGAATTATTCGAAAAGCTAGACACGTCATTTCATTTTCTCGTTCGATCGATAAAAAAGCCGTTATTAATTTTCACAACACAAGTAGTTTATAACTTTGGTAAACTCATTTGCAATTCTTTGTGTTTGTATAGCAAGAAACACTGCATTTTGTTCAATCGATACACAACATTTTGTTTGAACAGTTCTTATAAAAGTTTAATACGCAAATTTTTAGAGTCAGTTGGGGGGGGGGATGAAATCGTTTTTACAAAATTTAGCGCACCTTAAGCGACCTTTGACATTTACTGAGGGAAACTTAAAAAAAAAGGAGAAACTGAACATTCTACATCTTTTTTTCTTTCTTCTTCTAAAATTCTGAACTGATAGAAAATAACCTTAGTCGATAGATTTAAAAACAAAGTTCTGTATTTTTATTTTATTTTTTTAACATGGTATTCTACTTTTTTAATAAATTTTGAATTATAATAATTTCGAAATGTATTAAATACGAGTTACTTCGAAAGCTTTTATTGAAAAATTAACACTTTCAAAAATAATAATTTTCTATTTTAAGAGATTAATGATTAAATTCGTAAAAAACATGATTTAATAATTTCCTACAATAGCATATCATTCATCAATTTAAATTAATTAATGGTTTATTTCGGATTTACAGTTTAATAAAAGAGACATGATTTGTTCGTCTGTAATTTAACAAACAGCAAATTTATGTGTAGCAAGAAAAATAAATAAACGAATAAATAAAAGGATTGAATAATGTTAATCATAATGATCAGATTTCAACGAACAAACTGCTATTAGAATGCCTCAAAGGCTTGATCTCAAAGTTAAATAATACTAACGATTTATAAGTTATGGAATCTGACACAAAAGCGTATTTTCGCAGAATAAATAGAAAGTTTTCGACGGATTTTGATTTTTGATTATAAAAATATGGGGATAAGCCACAATTTGGAAAATATGGTTTCAATAGTTTAACCAGCGTCCAAGATTTTGGGCCCCTTAATGTTGATTTCATTTTATGCGTATTTGGAGAATTTTTAAAGATGATGAAATTTTTTTTAGCATTATCATAAATTTCGTTTATTTAAAGCCAATTCTATGTAAAGAGAAAAAGTTTTTTTTTTATTACTCATTAGTTTCAAAAATAAATTTTTATATAGAATTATCTTTGGGTAAATGATTTAATAAATTGAGATAAATTTTTTTATACACTTAAAAAGCTTTCGGAAACATTGTGAAATGTGTTCTGATCGTCCTCTTGACTTAAATATTGGGGCCATTTTTGCAAGAGAGCAACTAGTCCCTATATTTTAATTGGTCAAAAATCCAAATCTGTTAAAAATGATATCTTTATTCAGAGTTAGTATGTTTTTGTGCCTAATACCATTACTTAAATGATAATAAGCACAAATTAATTAGAATATTTAATTAGAATTATAAGTCAAACCTTAGAACAATAAAGAATTGCACTGTGTTCATTAAAATCGAACATAAGAATAAAAAGTTATTCTGGGGGTGATAACTTTTTCTATGTTTTAGTTTATTGCTTGGTGCAAAGAGAGTGGGTAAAATAGAACACTTGAAAATATTATGTTGCAGCAATGGGCTTAGTTAAAAAAGTCAAATAGGATACATATGTATATATATTATAAATGGGTCAAAAATTCAAATCTGCAAAAAAAGGGTATATTTAAAGAAAGAAAGTTTATAATCCTTGAAATAATCAAGATAGGATATGAAAAATTCTGATAAGTATACAATTTATTGAGGTGTTCCATTTATTGCACACTGTGAGCGTTATTTTAATTCCGTATTCTTTATATTAACTTTTTTAGGTGCAAAGAAGTGGTCCAACATCATTAGCACCCATAATTCGTAGAGCAACAGACATCGTTCGCCGTACTGGATTGTTCCATATATTGCTCATAATAACTGATGGCCAAATGCGACCCGAAGACGTGCCAACAAGACATGCTTTAGTAGAAGCATCGAAGAGTGCTCTTAGCATCGTTGCGGTAGGGGTCGGAGATGGCCCTTGGAGAGCACTTGAAGAATGGGATGAAAGAGTTCCAGACAGAAAGTACGACAACTTCCATTTCGTCAACTACCATCACGTCATTCGTTCTGCTAGGAATGCTGAAGCAGCGTTGGCACTACATGCTCTTATGGAGATACCAGATCAGTTCCAAACTATTCTTAAGTTCAATTATTTGAATAAATATTGATGAGAATAATATAATCTTAGATCTTTTATTTATTCATTTGTATGTAGATTTAAAATTAAGATATCAATTGCTTTCTGAGCCAAAATTTTGTTTTAGTTAAAAAAAATTATATGATGTAAACATGAAAATGAATGTTATAACACTTCTTTAAATACCATAAAAGAATTGAAGCAAAGATGGACTTTCAATCCCCAAGTAGTTAAAAATTGCCTGATAGAGGAATATGCATCTTTTTTGAAACACTAACCCATAAAGAAAACATAGCAGCATTATATTTCCTTCATCAGGCAGTGGAAAAAAAATCTACCCAATGAAAGAAAGTTTGCTCTTTTTAAAACGCGAATATTAATATTTTAATCTTTTATAATAATAAAATAAAGAGTGTGTGTCTCTTATAACTTCAGAACCGTTTGTGTTAGCGTCTTGAAAATTTAATAGTGAGTGAAGGAGCAGGTTTAAGCACCCAATGCTAAAAATTATTCAAGAATTTTATTCAAATCGTTCTTGAGAGATTTTGAAAAATGAAAGCCGAATTATTCGAAGTTTACACTGATAAAAATTAAACAGTAGATGTTTCTGCTATTTTAAGCAAATATTTTTAAGATAACATCAGTAACAAGCAAATGAAGTTTTTAATCAAGTAATCTTGCCGTTTTAGCTTCTTGGCATTATTTATTTAATAGGGGTAAGAGTTTGCTTTGAAATTCTAAGAGTTATCATACTGCAAACAATTTCAGAATCAGTTAATTAAAATTTAATTTATATAGGATTTATGAAAAAACATGTTATTTTCAAATAAAAAAACGTCAAATTTTCTATTAAAAAATTATTAAATACAAAATAAAAAGCTTCAAAGAAACATCAAAGTAATACATGCTTAAATAGTAATACATGTTTAAATAGTAATCTGAATTTAAAATTTATTTCTGCATGCATATATTGAGCCACTGCAGGTGAACTGCTATGCCACAAGTCAATTATTTCAGTAATTTGAAATTTTGAAGTCATTCTTTTCTTTTTTCAAAATTTTTAAAAGACAAAAGACATTTTTCAACATTAATGATTTTTAAAATCTCGTATAAAAAATAAAAATCAATTTAACACTCAAATATTAAGAAATAACTCAATATAATAAAAAAAGAGCCCTTTAGCAAAATTTTTAAATGGTTGTTAAAGAAATAATTTATACAATATCATTTAACACAGAAAATACCTAATGGGCCATAGTTAGCTTTTGATATCAATAATATATTTATTTAAGGTAAACAACTTATAATATACTTATTAAGCAAATAACTTGTTAATTTGAATTTAAAGAAAAGTAAAAATGAAATATATTTATATTTAATAAGAGAAACACTTATATTAATTTAAATCCGTAGATATGTATGCTTAATTATAACAGTAAAAAATTGGGAAATTCAATGAGATTTTATTGTTGTTATTTGTTAGTGATTTTGATAATTAGTGGGAAAGATACAATTCAGTAAATGACTTCAGAAGTCATTGGTAATTTTTAGGAAAAATGAGAAAATTGACAGTTTTTTTTTAAACATTGAGTAGTTAAATTTGGCATTTTCTCAGCATCCATTTATATTATTAGACTAAGAGGAAAACTCGGATACTGGTTAGACTTTGAGTTACTATAAAATCATAATACACACAAAAGAATAATATTTCAAACTCGATTTTGTCTAAGAATTAAAAATGTCATTTTCTTCATTTTTTCTAAAAACACAGATAAATAGAAAAGATCCTTATCTCAACATTAAAATATTATTTAAAATACCACAATAATATCATAAAAAAGAAAAGTTTATTATGTATTTATTTCCATAAGAAAAAAAGAGATGACAACAGAAAATATTTTTTTAAATGCATTTTTCAGTATTATTAAAAGACAATGTATAATTTTTATTACATATATTTATAGTTCTGAACACTTACTAAATTAGAAGTATAGCAAGTCGTAATGAACAAGTTGTAGGAATCCATGAATTTATAATTCGGGCAAAACCATGATAACTCCAAACCTGAGAATTTAATCTGTAGTATGATTTATCCTTAATGAAAATTTCACAATAATTTTTTTATTAAAACATCTAAAAATAATATTTAGAATTTTTTTATAAATTTCAAAAAAATTTTCAAGAATACTTAGAATTATAAAGTTTTTTTAATAATGTAATCAGAACTGAAAATATAAATTTTTCCTAACAAAGAGCAGATAGGGACCATTTATCATGGTCTTGCCCTTATGCTTTGTAGAAATTAATAATAAATTAATCATAAACTTAACAAATATAATAATGTTTTGAACATAAAAAATCATCAAAAGGGATGTAGTGTTTATTACAAGAAAGCTCCCCTGAAAGAAATAGAATTAACTCTTTTTTTTAAAACTATGTACAAACATAAGTGAAACTTATAAAGATATAACAAATATTACACAGATGATGATGATGCGAGAGGGACGGATAGAGTTCTTTCTCGAGCAGCAATATCATCTGGATACTCTAATCTTTTCTGTTCATTGGGTAAATAGTAACTTCCATGAAAAGATTCAAAGTACCGTCCAATTTCCATGTGAGTTATTGGAGTTTTGACATCATCAATCACTAAGTTTTCTGAAGGAAAAAAAATTGTGATAATAATGGGATGAAAATAGCATACAAAGTTATATTAATGATTTAAGTTACTCTAAGGATGCAAATTCATCAATTGATTTAGGAGGTCTTTATCCTTGGATTTTAGGTTAAATTTATAATTTGTTTTCTTTAATTTTCTTGTACTATACAAACATTCGGTGATATAGTAGTATTAGATAGCACAATACCTTTAAAAAAAGGTAGAAAATTAAAGGGTCACCTTATTAGATTAAAAGAAAGTGCTTAGATTAGATTAGGGCTTGATAATTTTTAGAACATAAAATTTTCCTTAAAAACTTAAAGCAATAAAATGATGCAATTTGAGGTATTGACTAAGTTAATTTAAAATGACACATTTATCAGTTTTTAGATTTTTTAAAATATTCTTTAAAATCAGTTTTAAATTTATTACTGTTTATATTGATGAAAACCGATTTGGATGACGTCTAAATTTTAAAAAATTTTAATTGCCTAAAAATAAATATACTTATCAAAAATCTAAAAACAGGCAAATTTATACTATTTAACTACCTATAAAAACTGTTGACTGTAGAACTGTCTTGGCATAATTTTGCCAAAAGAAAAAAAAAATTAATATAGAATCTACAATACCACTAACTTAATATCTCAAATTGTGATTGGGTGGTGGCCTTGTATTTTACATGTGTCGAAAAATACTGATAAATAGTGTAAATATCCATCAACAGTTCATTTGTGAAAATTAAATGAAGTGGATTAAAAGCATATTTTGAATTCCCCCATCTCTTACCCCTTTAACAGTTGAGTTCGGTGGGGAAAGGAACTCAATAACTATAACTGATATATATGAGTTATAGTTATTGAGTTCTTTCTCATTATTTTGTAAAAGTTTTTCATGTTGAAAATTTAAAAATATTAACAAGATAAGAGTGCCTGGTATAAGATTACTGCAGGCCAGTTCCTGCAAGGTCGTAGGGGTAGAACAGAATAAAAATTTTATTTTCTGAGACTAAGAAATTCTAACTAAATAATATTGGTCATATTTACTTTTAATTATGCAAACCTTTCATATATAAAGTAAAAGCTTGATAAAGAAGATAATTTACACTTCGAAATGTGAAAGGATAGAGACAGAGTGTTCTATAAAGCACGTTCCTAAGATAGTAATTTTAGAATCCTCATAAAAAAGCAAAAACATGCCCATAAAAAATATTTTAAGAATCCTCATGAGAAATGAAGGGATAAAGGTACGTACTTTGGAGGTAAAATATTTATGTTTAATTAGGGAAAACAGAAAAATACTTTTGAAATCTGACAAATCATAATTAAGGAATGCTGGTGTACAGAACATAAGAACCTGTTTTATGCATCAAATATTTCATAAAAATACAAATCCTCCCTTCCAAACAGATTTTAGTGTTTCGTACACTGCCTTACTAAATTGTAATTCGCCAGATTTTAATCGTATTTTTATTTTTTCTCCAGTTTCATATTGATTTACAACTACAATATACACACTTTTTTACCCTCATTTTTGAAAATAATTCTTAAAATGCATATTAAAGGAGGCCCTTAGGAAACACCTTGTATGTTATTCAAACTGTTCACTCACCTTGAGCAGCATAACGATTTGTACCATCAGCAACCAAAACATGATAAAATGGTTGTTTATCTTTATATTTTAACTTGTCAACACCCATCTGAATAATCCATTCTTTACTAGCAGTACATAATGGATCCCAGCCGTAAATAACACATCGATAGTCATACCTATTAGCAGAGAATAAGAAAAGTAAGAAACTTTTTTTTTGTAAAAATGTAAAACAAACAATGTAAAAAATACTTTTTACAAAGTTTGAAAAACAGTCTACAGATATATTAGATTGAAAATATTTGATAATAATTTCGTTAAGCATAATTTAGTTTAAGGCACTGAACTATCACTGTAAAGAACTGGCGTTTAATCCCCAGTGGTGGATTAAAGTCCACCCTGCTTGTCTGGGAAGTGAAGGCAGCCAGTGAGCAATGCTGACCACATTACTACAATCATGTTGTTGGAGACTTTAAGTCCATGAACCTCAACCTCCTGTCTGTGAAATTGTGGAGCCTTAACATCCATTGGCATACAGCAGGTTGTTGTTGTACTTTTTTTTATAATAATTTATTCCTTGAATTGAAAAAAAAAATGCATTTTGAATTTTCTGATAGTTTTGCTGTGGATTAAAATCCATAATTGTGAGACAAATTTCAAATATTAAAAAAAAATGTAACACATAAGAAAATTATTTAAATACTCATTCAAAGTCAGAGACAATTTTTGAACTTCTTTAGGTAATATTCAAAAATAAAAAGATGCTTGTAAAATATTTCATTTATATCAATTACTTATTAAACTTATTACACTTTAAAGCAAACCAAAAACCTCACAATTTACTTGATTGGAAGAATTATAGCAAATATCTTACAAAAATCAAACAATATAAAAAAATTACATAACAATTTTTTATATTGTTTTAATAAAATTTTTATATTGTTTTGTAGTTTTGGATAATTTTTTTATATAAAATTACATAACAATTAAAGATATCTAAAATATCTAAGTTTGGTCAATATGAAGGAGTCAAACTGTAACCTCACTATTATTGATAAAAAATAAATTGACTGATTTCTATGACTTAAAAGTTATCAGCTGGTTCTAAAGGCTAGCTAGTAATTTTATAAAACTAGTAAGAACTGCTTTATACGAGCTTAAGGAAGAGAAGATAATAATTAAAATGATTAATGGGTAGAATAATTAATGGGTAGAAAATTAAGATCAGCATTCCCATGTTTATCTGAACAATTAAAACTGAAATTCCGAATTAAAGAAATTCTTAAAGCTCTAAAGAGACAAAACACTCAAAATAAATATTTTCAGAATAATTCGAACTTTTAAGAGTAAACTCAAATGTTAGGTCTCAAAAAATAACTAAATAATCTTGGATTAAAAATAAAATTGATAAAGTTGGACCTAAAGCAAGAAAATACACAATCTGTTCATAAAAGGATAAATATGCTAGAAATAGGTTTCGAGAAGATAAATCAAATAGATAGTATGAGTTAATTTGGATTTCTAAAAATATTTATTTAGGAACTGTCTCTGAAGAGCAAAAGCCAGTGTTGCCATCCGAAAATGTACTAACTGTACAACCACCAATTAATCCTCCAGCTTAACTAGTGGACTGATCGTTAAGACACGGTTCCCAGCAGATCACCGAAGTCAAGCATCACTGGCTACGGTCAGTGTACGGGTGGGTGACCACTTGGATCAGTCTGCGTAGGGACCGAGGGTGTGCGGTACTGGTCCTCGTTAAACTGTGCTACCGTAAAGTGCCCGACTTCGCGCGCAGGTCGTCGGGCTACCGAAGCGGGGGTGCCATCCCCTCCGCAGAGGATCAAAATTGTGTAGGCATGTCTTCGGATCATCCTCCGGGATGTTTCCCAGACCGTCGCCAATAGCCCATTGTGAAGCTCCAGTGCGAGGTAAATTAACAACAACAACCAGCTTAACTAACATCTAAATTTCAATGCATCAAAAATTAACAAAACCTAAAACGAGAGAGTTTGAGAAATGTTTATGTGTTTTGAATAAATTTGCATGTATATGTGCTTAAAAATTTATATTGCATAAATTTTTATTTTCTAAAAATGGCATGTAAGAGATTGATAATAGATGGCACTGCTAAAGCTGTACAGTCCGCAAAAAAAAAAAAGATATCACCCTGAATAACTTTCGCTCTAATGATCGGATTTTCACGAACTAAGTGTTAATCTTAATGGTTCCTGGGGGTGACCTCAAATATGCTAATTAATTAGTGCTATCTATTAATTAAGTTACGAAATCAGACACAAAAACGTACTTTCTCTGAATAAACATATATTTTTTCTTACATATTTGGATTCTTAACCTTCAAAATATAGGGGGTAGCCGCAATCTGGGAAATATGGTCCCCATAGTTTGGTCAGGAGAGCGATCCAAAGTTCGTACCCCTTAATGTTAATTTCACTTTTTACGTTTTTAGTCATATTTTAAAAACTAATAAAGCAATTCGAAGAAAATTTCACCCAGTCATAAAACTCATTTACCCAAAGATAATTTCACGAAAAAAATAATTTTTAATAATTGTTAATTATTTTTTATTATTTAATTAAATTAAGGATGAAAAATTTTTGAATTATAAGGTATGAATTTTTTTATACCATATTAATCTACATATTTTTCAATTGAAAAATCTAAAGTTTCAACTGTTTTTATTTATTAGAAGCTGAGAAAAATTAAAATTAATTATTTTTAAAAAAATAATTTGGCGACAATGAAGAAATGATTAAATGGAGCGATTAATATTAAAATGTGATAAACTTGCGAGGAACTTGACTTCGCGCGCTTAGCATAAAATTTCATTCATATTTTTTTCGCTAATAATCGTTTGCTTATCTTTTCATTTTTATTTTTTTAAGCTATAAAATACGATGTTTCTTCTTTAGTCGTCTAAAATTCTATTTGCAATTTAGTAAAGAAATTTGAATAAAACATTTTATTGAATAAAATACATTTTATTCAGAGAATGTGGAGTTTTATAAAAGCATGCTTCTGATAGAATATGATTATACAACAGATTGTGCTTCTTTAATGTGATTTTTTTTTATTTTTTTTTTCTCAATAACTGATAAAATTTCAATAATATACATACGAATGAATAAATTTGGAATAAAATATTCATCAATTTCTTGAATATATATTTTATAAATATTAATAAAAATACGCAGTCAACATTTTTAAGCATCTCTCACAACATCGCAAATTTCTCAAAATCTTATAGGGTAAACTAACCAGTGAAGGAATACTTAAGCTTAGCTTGTCTTTAAAAAAAAATCATAAAAATTTCAAAATTTGTAATTTTAGCTAAATGACGTATTTGTTATTAAATGCATGTCGACATATTTGTTATTAAATGCAAATTATGTAAAAAAAATTTAGATAACTTACATAATATTGTTTTAAGCTTTTGGTGGTTTAAATAATAAGTAGTAAGATAACCAAGTGAAGGAACAGTTCTTAAATTGAATAAACACTAAATTTTCCAGTGAATGAACACTTAATTTTGAGAATGTTTGATGCTCGTTAGGAATCCTTAGGCCACACAGATATCTGTCGCCCTGTAGATGCCTGAATTGACGGATGTTAACACAGGCGGGCATTAGGAAAAAAAAATCTTTTAAGTTTTCGTGCCCCCATTTCAGTATCTTAAGGGCCTTACGAGCTCTGTTTAAAAAGAGAGTATCATATCAGATATATATATATATATAAGAAAACAAAAATAATCATAGTAGCAGTATTTGGTGGTAAATGTAGCTTATCGTAATTGAAGAATATGCTGTGCGACATTTTATGGTGAATTTGCGAACGTAAGTTTCAGAATGTATCGAAACATGTGGATGCTATTTGCTAATCATCTTTATCCAAAGAAAACCATGTAACGTAAATATCTAGCAAAATGAAGCAATTTTTTAAACAATGAATCATACAATATGCAACATATTATTTCTATATCTTATTCTTAAACATAACATATTTCAATGTTTTTAAAATGCCACTAAACATTCAGCAATTCATTGAGTTATAGAAAAAAGAAATCGTAAATTACAGAAAACCTTGTGAATGTGCATTAGAATTACTATACAATCTACATTTTATTTTTCATGCACTTTTTTTTCCTTCAAACTTTCATGCCTAGAAGACTCGATTAAAGCTGTAAAAATCATTATCCCTAAAATTTTGTATATAGCTATTATAAGTTATGTTAATTTGATTTTAGTATGAAATCCTCGAATAAACATAGCAAAAATAGCATAATCTAAATAATATCAGATAAAAAGTTCATGTATTTAAATTCTGAAAACTTATAAATCGATTCAAATTTTCTTTTCAAAAGAGATTAAAATAATTTTTTATTTTATTTATTTATTTATTTTTTTTGCTTTTTGGACATAAATGAACTTAAAAATTGTCTATTGCCTAGAAACTTCGAGGTGTTTTCTATTAACTATTAATTAAACCTCTCAGAGCAATCACAAAACATTATTTCAATTTTTTTACAGTCAGAAATTGGTTGCCTAGCAACCTAGTAAAATTAAGCGTTTCTCTTTTGAATCAGTCAAGGGTTATCTTAAAATATTTATTTGCGCAGGCGACTTTTTTTGGCGGTTTTCTGGACTATCGCCAAATATATAAACCTTTATTGCAACCCAATTTACGACCCAATTGTTTTAAAATTTTGTCTACCCCCCCTAATTCAAGTGTCTAGATTCCAAATATGTAAAAAAAAATATATGTTTATTCAGAGAAAGTACGTTTTTGTGTCTGATTTCGTAACTTAATTAATAGTTAGCACTAATTAATTAGCATATTTGAGGTCACCCCCAGGAACCATTAAGATTGACACTTAGTTCGTGAAAATCGGATCATTAGAACGAAAGTTATTCAGGGTGATATCTTTTTTTTTTTTTGCGGACTGTACACCTTTACTGTTGAACATCACAACAGAATAAGTTTTATCTGCTGGTCTCAAGATGATACTTTTTGAATTTGTCTAATAAATATGTGATCATCTAATTATGTCATTCCCTTTTAACACATCTCAACAACTAAAGGACATAAAAACTTTAAATGGCTAAATTGAAAATATTTAATCTGTTCATTTATATGCTTATTATAAAGAGCATACTTTTTGTGAGTCATTATCATTCCAACAGCAAAATCCACATTAGCGCAATTCTCAACCCTTTTTTGGGATTTTACCTAGAAAACAAAAAAATTTAGAGTAAATACATTAACACTTTATTAGTTTCAAAAACATATAGCCATCTAATTGAAAATGAAATAAAAATAGGTTCAAAGAATTAAAAAAGTCAGCACCATTTATTTCATCCAAAAACATTTTTTGCAAAAAAATAATTTAAACATTATTTACATACTTTCCTCTTATCTTTTTTTATTTGTTGAGTTTCAAGAGTAGTAATAGCTGTCCGGTACATATAACCGACAAAGCCAGTTGAGACTGGATCATTTTCAGCTATTTCTTGTAATAAGCTTATCACCTAGAAATTATAGGAAACAATCATAGCATTAATCAAACCTTATTCAACTATGGCTTACAATTCAACTACATAATAAACATCAATGTTAAAATGCATGTGATTTTTTAATAATGTAATATTAACACATGCATTTCCATCATGACATTCTTTTTAAAATAGTTATAAAGTAAATAATTTATAAAAAATTAGTAAACAATAATCTTTACATTTGACTGCTTTGACTATTGTTATCGATAACTTTTCCTGATTTGGCCCAGAAAAATTGCTTTTTACTAGGTGCCAAAAGGATATTTAGAATCAATATATGACATTTAGCATTCAGAATAAATAATAAAATCAATAGTTTAGAAGATTAAACAAAACTGATTTTATAAAACTGAAATTTAGTACAGTTTTTAACTCACTCTTGTTATGTTGACACATAGATGCATATATACTCGAGCTAGCAACAATTTATGTTCAAGATCATCAGGACACAAGATAGACAACAATTCTAAGGAATTGCACAAACAGGATAGACCTTCACTGGATTCATCATGTTGGCGTCCAACTTCTACCAAATTCCAACACATTGTTGCAAAAACCTTAATAATAATAAAAAAAAACTTTAAAAATTTCATTAATAAATTATTAATTTAATGATATAGCATCATAAATGAAGTATGTTTGATCACATAATTTATAGTGCTAAAGTGCCACAATGGGAAAGTAAACACCTGTAGTTCATTTCCTAAAAGATGGCACAATGAATCAGTTAAAGAGATTAGAGGTAGACATTTTGAAAACCACCAAATTTTAAAGTTAAAGATCTTAAGTTCATCAGTACATATAGAAAACAAAGCAATTTTTCTCGGTAATTAAATAATTTGCAATGAAAAAATATTTTTTTAAAAATAGCTTGTTCATGTTTATATTCATTTTTTTAACCCCATTTCCCTAAGGAAATTTTTTCTTAACTCTTCAAAATCAAAAATAAAGCAGATAAAATTTTTTTATACTTTAATTAAATTTTATTTAAACTAAGTAAAAACTAAAAGCTTAACATATAAAAAAATAGAATTTATCAATAACTTTTACAGCTCTGTAATTAAGAAGTAAAAATCTCAAGTAAATTTTAGTTTAGAATGCTTATTAATTAGAATCATTAGGATAACAAAGTTATTTTTTTAATTTCTAGTAAGTTTAAACACTGAAGTAGACAGGAAAAATGTTTTATTTGACAGTGCTGAAAAAAAATAATTTTGTTTCAAGAAATGACCTTTCTAAACTCACAAAGTTTTGATACACACATGAAAAAGCTTTGAAAATAAAAATTAAATATCTTTTTTAATGAAAAATAAACACTTTATTTGGAGTTTACTGATAGACAAAACTCAATTGAGCTACTTATGATTTATTTAGACTAGTAGTTTAAACTCAGACAGGTAATGGCAAATAAAAATATTTGCTTAAACACATGAAACTTATCTATAATTTTTACAGCTATATAAAAAGAAGTTAACATCTGAAGTAAATGTAGATAATGTTTAACTCATTAATGCCTAATGTCCTGTGAAAAGGATGATCCTTTTTCTAGTCTTTCATTACCCACTTGGAACAAATATGTACTACCACTTTTTTTTATATAGGTGTTTTTTGCCCACTTTTTTGTGACTGGGCAGTCACGGGTTAAATCAATACCACTGGAATAACAAATTAGCATAAATATTAATAAACAGGGGTGATTGTGAGCCAAACTCAAAAATCCTGAAAATTTCTTGAGTAAAATCATTAATGACACATTCCAAAAAATTTATGTCTTTATAAATTTAAATCATTGATATTTTTAAAAGATGAAATTTTAAATAAATTATATGCAGCCTAATTTAAATGAATAATTATGCATAAGTTTACTTTTATCTCCAATCACATTTATTATTCTACCAGAAAAATATTTACAAAGGAAAGAGATGCCAAGCATAAATTCTAGCTCTAATATTTTTAAATAAAATATACAAGAGTTTTTATACATAAATGTGATTTTTTAAAACTACTGGACCTTGAATTTCCAGAAACTTTTGGATCATGATTAGTGAAAAATCCGGAAATCCTGATTTTTTCCCGAGCACAATCGTCTCTGAATTAATAATGTAAACTGAAAATAATTAATACAGTTTAAGATTGTTATTATTCAATATTAAAATTAGCTTAATATACCAAACTACAAACTAAAATTTGCTATGATGGTTCAGTGAATAAAAGCACTGAATTGTCATAGTGAAGAACTGGGGTTTGATTCTCAGTGGTGGCTTGCAGCCCACTCAGCTTCAGATAGAAGGGTACCATTTAACTGGTCTAAGAAGTAAAAGAAGTTTTGGGGCAATGCTGACCACAATCAGGCCGTTGGTCACAAAACTGTGATCCTTAACATTCATAACCCTTATGCCCACAATGTGCTGTTGCAGGAATGTTTTATTTTTTTTTATCAAACTATTATAATAAAATCATCTGGTTACATATATTAATATGTCTCATTAAATATAGAGACATTATGAAGCAAGAAAATAAAAAATTATTTCAGTAAATTATTCTAAGAACAACACATTTTTGGCTGATTTGTTGTTTCATAAAAATTCATGCTATGACACTTTTTTGCGAAAAGTTACTTTAGAGCAGTAAGTTTAAAGTGTAAAAACTATTTTGTTCATAATTTTTTTAAAGAGAATATAAATGTATGGTTGTTCCAAAAATCTAACATAATTAAAAATTATTTTATACTTTTACAGGTGGAACAGATTCCAACCATGAAGGTGTGAAGTTGTTATAACCAGGGGCTAGATCTTGCAATTCATGTTCTTTTTTGAATGCACCATTAGAAAATATGTCAATATATGTCCATGCCACTTGCGCATCATTCATCCTAGATAATAAATTAAATAAAACAATGTAGAAAAATGTATGATATACATTTGATTTAATATAATATATAAAAATTATAATAGAACAGAATATAAAAATTAAAAATATTTGAATATTTTAAAATGAAATCAGAGAATAAAAATGTTGCATATGTTGTCTACATTATTATACATCTTGTTGTGAACATGATTGATAAACATCCAGAGAATTAGCAAACTACAGAATAAAATGTGATGCACTTGTTCTAGAGATATTAGTAAACAATGAAAGTAAGTACATACTAACAAACTTTCCATCTTATATGAAGGGTTTGGTGTAATATAGCAATAAGCCACACTTTTATCAAAAGTGACATTTTTACAACAAAGTAATTTTATTATAGTTTACAGATATATACTTCACAACTTTTTAGAACTTTCAATATATAACAGCATAATGCACAGAAATGTCTTGTTTTCCACATAAAAATCCACAAATTCTCCTTAGAATAATTTTAAAATCTTATAATTACATTGCTCCAAGATCTTTACACATAAAGAAAGTACCTTTTAAGTATAGAAGTACATTTTATAAAAATATTTACTAGCATGACAAGGAATTACGACAAGCATAACAACTTAAGAAAGTTAGCTTGACTTACCTATTCATAAAAAATATAATTATTTTAAATATAATGATCTTTGATGTTTTTTCATGAAATTTATTTATTTTTTTAAAGTTTAGAACAAAAAAAAATTATTTTGCTAAAATTTAAAAAATGGTAACAGGCATGAAATCTGACTGCTTTCTATGGAATTCACCTTCAATGATTTTTTTCCAGTTTTTAACTGCTCTTCATAAATAATAACAAAATGTTATAAGTTAATATATAATACAACTTACTCTGGATGTTCTAACCACTTGAGAAGAAAATGGCCAGGAAAGTTTACAGACAACAAACGCACCCCTAACTGATTGGCAATAGTCTCATATAGAATACCTAGTGTAACTGGTATTCCAATATTTTTGTCTAATGCCTGAAAAAAATGTTTGAAATAATAAATGGGATAGTTGTAAACCACAAAGACTTAAAATTTAAATAATATTCTAGATAATTATTAGGTGAGTTAAACAAGTTATTATTAATTAAATTTTTTTTATATAAATGAAAATTATACTAATATGCTTAAATCTTAAGAATGAAAAAGAGTTTAAATTTTAAATATATATATATATATATGTTTGTGTGTGTGTGTGTGTGTGAAGCCAGTGGAAAGTATTAAAAATTCAAGTTTTTTATTCAATTGACCTTACTTCATTAAAAATATCATGAACCAGTTTGTTGAAAAATTGAAAAAATTAAGAATAAAATTTTTTTGAGAGATACCTTTTTCATCCCTATGAAAAATGAGTGATTTTTTTTCCTTACCAGGATCCATATAAGTTACATTTCAACATTTAATTGCTTGATAAAAATAAACATGTACAAATGTTATTTTTAAGTTATTTTATGATTTTAGGGAGAGAGAGAGGGGGGGGGGATGTCAGACGGAGGACAGGGATTTGTCATACACAAGTAATGTGAAATATTTGTTTCACTCTTAGGATATATATAAATTACATTATAACTTAATATATTCCAACCATAAATCACATTCCAACTATTCTAAAATGGAAAAAAAATGAGTCAAAAAATATTATTTCATATGTACTTAAAACTTATGGTTTTAGGGGTGTGGGGGTCCTCCTTAGAGAATATGTACAAGTTTTTTTATTACTATAAACTGTAGATGAGTATTTTTCCAACATTTATTTACTAGAAAACTAAAATAAAATGTTCATTTAAATTTTATTTATAAAGTACTTAATTATAGCTTTAGGGGAGAAAGAGGGAGAAGTTTACACAAGTTTTATAATTGAAATTTGATGACTAATTTTACTTATGCCACATATAAAATTTGATAATTACATTTACTTGTTCTAATTTTATTTATTACATAAAACTATAAACATTAAAAAGAAATATTGAGTGACATTGAATTAAAAACGAATGAAAGAAGATAAAATCCTGTAAGGAACATTTAATCTCATAGGCCAACACAATAAAAAAAAATTAAAAAAAGAACATCATAGTACTGAGTCTAAATTATCAGCAGTGATTGTGTTTATATTGCAGCCCAAAACTACTCCAAAAGTTAAAAATTGCGTAGCTTCCAACTGGTCAAAGCATCTAAGAGCTATGCATTTTTTAAAAACATGTTGCAGTTTTATAATTTCAAAGATCAAAGAAAAGCTTATTAGATCAATGAAAATGAACTAAAATTATAAATTTTTTACCTAAATAAGCTTTTTTTTTTTTTACGTTGCAAATCTTACAAAATTTAAAAAAAAAAAATAAATGAATCATCTATAGGTCTGATGTTATTTTTCTCTACTGTTTCAAGTCTGCAAAAACTACTATAATACAGGAACGTTTTATTTAAGAAATATTTTAATTAAAATTAGCTTTCACATTTTTCAGAACTGTTCGGGTAAAAAAAAATTTTCTTCTAAAAGATTATTATTTTCTGATTTTTCATTATTTAAAAAAAAAAAAAATTGGAGGGATTTTTTTTTGTTGTTGAAGTAAATAGTTTTACATTGTAATATTTTTGATATTGCTTTCTATGCTTTAGTTAAAACTTTAATTGGTGATTAAATTAAACATATAATTAGTTTTTTGGGGTAAAAATTAATTTATTGTTCATTTTAAATTATAATTTGCTATAATGAAATACTTTAGAAGATGTAGTAAATTTAAAACTTATTTTTAAATGTAGTTTCTATCAAGCATATGAATTTCGTTTTCTAATATTTCTATAAAACTAATATCACATCCACTTAAAAAAATCTAAAATTTAAAAAGGAAATATAATTAATAAGCTAATCCCGGCAAACAAGAATCAAATTTGAATTTACCAAATCAATCAAAACTTTATTTTTACTTATAAGTAAAAATGAATTAAATAATAAATTGTAGAAGAAAATACATATTTAGATTATATTCGAAAATATCTTTTCATAGAAATAGGTATGAAATATAGCATAAAACTGAAAAATAAAATATAGTGAATTCTAAAAAGATACTAATAATGAACATTTTGGTTGTTAATACAAAAAATAACACTATGTGTAAATCTAATTTAAAAGAAATAACTGATTCAATAAACTAAATAAGTTTAAATACAGTACCTTGCCAATGTATATATTTTCAAATGTGTACATGTATTCAACACAACTCCAGCCAAGCTTTCCATATAGAATGCTATTTATGCAATTCAAAATAACTTTGCATCGATAAGGACTCCACAGAGAGTTTTCAAGCACTTCTACTAAAATAGAAAAAAAAAATTTTTTTTCTTAATTATTTAGTGTTTTGAAACAACTTTCTTCAATTCATATTTTTGATTGAAATTTTAATTTGGACGGCATAATTGTATGTATATATATAGAGAGAGATTTTCTGTCACACAAAATGTTTTAATAACAGCTAGATTATTTATTACTAATTTTTTTTATTTTACAGATATTCATTTAAATTTAACATATTCCAATTATTATGCTGAATTCAATACAAAATTTATTGCAATTTTTGAGTAGTTATGCATATATTTATAAACACATTAAGTTAAAATGCAGATGAAAACACATCTCAGTCATGTTTTCAGTTTTGGTATAACTATCACATCAAAAATGCTCATGACTAAAAATATGAATTAATAAAAAGTGTATTAAAACATACTTAAAATTTTCTATAATTTTGAATTTTCTTTTTAATAATCAATTATATTTTTGAATACAGTGAAAGCAAATTCTGAATGAATAAAAAATAATTCAAAGTTATGGTGAGTATCTCTTTCTCTTTCTGTATAATCTCTTTCGTTTCTATTGTTTTCTTTTTCTTCTAATTTTCAGTAAATAAAATCCATATTTAAATTTCATTTAATTTTTATAGTCATCATGCTACACTTATATCATTGGCTTATTTACAGTTGATTTTTCTTCAGTATAAGACAATGTACATAAATGTCTATAACAATGGTTTCAAACTATTTTGACTCAGTTTATTTTTCACTATAGTTCAAAACTATAGTTCCTTCCCTTCTAAAAGCAATAACTTAAAATTACTACACTTAGGTTTGTGAAAATTGCCAAACCATCAAGAAATTATGATCACTTTGTGTGAGATTGAAAGGATATAGAGAAAGAGATTATCACTTTTAAATATATTTATATAACTTATTTCTGAACATAAAATCTAGAAGGCATTGTTGAAGCAGAAACTTTTTCCAACAAAATTAAAAATCAAACAAAGATATAAGTACCATTTTCATCATGTAAACTAGAATACCCTTTCTGGATCACAGGATGACTAGGGCATACTACTTTTATTTCATTGAAGACCATTTCAATGAGCGAATTAACCTTATTAGAGACCTCTATAGTACAATCTACTTTGGAAGGTTCACACCACTGCTGAATGAGACAGGCACCTAAAATATCAAAATGAAACACATAAAAAAAAAATAATAATTATTTGTCGCAGAAAATTATCTAAAAATTAGAGATTACATAGCTTATAAATGAAGATATTGAAAGTTTTTTTTCTCTCTATCTAGTAAGATTTGGTCTTAATACCACAAAAAATTGTTAAAATATTAACAATTTTTTTATTATTATTATTACTTTTTAATGAAGTATTGTTTGACTGAAAGCTATTCAAAAACTATTAGATCAGTTGTTAATCACTCAATAGTTACTGCAGTAGGAGTGTCAATATTTATTGATAAAATAGATAAGAAGTATGTAATTTTAATAATATTTTTTTTTTTTAAATTGTTCAATTTTGGAGCCAAAGAAAGTTATGCCATTTTATACAAAATAAGAATTACTGATTTTTTTTATGAATTTAAGACTGAATAAATGTATTTTTATTAGTTTTTATAGATATTGATGGCTCTTTGAGAAAATTAATATTTGCTCAATTTCGCTTTAAAAATACTTTGTGCTGTTTAACTTTACATTTGTAATTTGGAAATTATGCCATTTGACAACATTTTTGAATAAATAACAAAATTCTAAAGATATACTATTCATATTCTAGGTAAACAGAAATAAATTTCTGCATCACAGAACAATAATTTTTATCAAATCCCATATTTCTGTATATTCTATACATAACACTATAAACATATACACCTTGTTAAAAAAAATGTAGCATAAGAGGTTTTGATATGAGGAAATTCCATGGCAAACTAACAGAATTTAAGTAATTGACTTATGTATTTTGTGTAAAAGTAACATATTTTTTTCCCAAGAGAACTAAATTTTTATTTAATTTAAAGTTTCTAGCTTATGCTTAAAATATAGCTCTGAGAGACTCAAATGCTTATTTGAATTCTGCTAAAACAGTATGCTAAACAGGTGTAGACTTCTTTTAAATTTAAAAATTTCAAGTATAATTGCATATTTTAAACTTTCAAATTCATAAAATTATGTCCATGTCAGACACTTTTAAATGCCTGGTAGTTAATTGGTTTAAAATTTGCAAACATTGTAATACTTATCTCAGGTCACATATATATGACCATCACAGTTTTATAATAATAATAACCTTATAAACATGCACATGCATTACTACCAATACAAAATGGAAAAAATATCTAGCAGATATTACAATACAATAAAAATTTTAAGCATCATACATATATAATTTTTAATTGTGTTTGTTATATTTTTAAATTCATAATTATAAATACTAAAAGATAATGATGACACATTCTTGTACAATATATAATTTAAAAAAAATAAACAATAACAAAAATAAGTAATTTTGAATTAATTTAAAAAATAAAGTTCCCTTTAAAAATGTATTAAAAATCAAATTTTTTTATTCACTCTCTACTCAAGGCTTATTTCTTAATTTTACTTAACAGTATTACTAATTAGATTTTTTTAAACAAGTAATTAACTAAATTATATATTTTGGGAGAACTTTACACAAAATTTTCTAAAATATAAAAATTATGACTTGAAATAACATTCAGTAATAAACTGAATAAAAAGTTATTTTGATAGGATTCTTTTTTTGGAGCATACAGAATTTGCTAAAATAAACAAAAATCATGAGAATTTTGCAGGAGAAATCGGTACACTTGGCTGCCATCCCATAACAGAATGAAGTTAAAAGTTTCTCAGGGAAGGCACAACAAACCTTTTAACAAAGATGGTCTTGGCCCAATATTCAAAAATGTTCGCCATATTGTATCTAACATTGTATGTCGCACATATATAAGTGCCTTCTCTGCATAATATTTTAGAGTAAGATTGGAGTGCCTAAAAGAAAAAAAAAAATAGATACTTTAGTAAGGAATAATAAAGACATTTTTAAAATAAGCAAATGCTATAACTTTAATTTTACAAGTTATAACAAACTTTTGCTTAAAAAGTTCAATGAATTACTTAAAAAAAATTTGAAATAACATTGCTCAATGCTCATGTACTTTTTAATCTTTAGCAACTAACTTTTTAATACTAAATATTTTATTTACAGCCAAATTGAGTGCATTAGTCAAATGGTACAAAAATTTAATGTATACCATCCATCTGCCTAATTCAATAATAATACAATTGTGTTTTACAAAGGCACAAAATTTGAAAATAATGTATTTTTCATAAACTATTTTGACAACAGGTACTATTTTATTTATTTATTTAAATTTTGGTTACCTTTTACTATGTTACATAAATACAGAGATTAATAACACAAGGGTGAAAAACTGCTAAATTGCACTAAATATAAGTGCTATTGCAGAGTCAACCTTGTTAAATAAATCAGTAATCAAAGCTAAAAAGATCAAGTGATTCAGTAGGACATATATCTTTACATTCAGAAAGTAAACTGCGAAAGGGACTTTAAAAGGTTACTCTTAATATTGAAAATAAGTATTTTTAATATATCAATGTGTAAATTAAGCAATCATTGAAGTGTATCAGAGCCTAAAAATTAAAGGGGAATGTTGAGTTTTTATGAGGACGCTCATTAAAATTAATAATGGTTGATATCGAGAAAAAAATTAAAACTGCCGAAAAAAAATTAGTTTGAGTTAAAAAACATTATAAATGTCTATACAAATTATATTTCTTGAAAAGAATGAGCTAAGTGGTCTGAAAGTCAAGCAGTTTAGTGGGAAATAACAAACAGAGGACATAGCCTCTTATATTATAAAATAAAGTATGAAAGATATTACAGAATAAAAAGTGGGATATTAAACAAGAGTAAGGAGAAAATTGAACATAGCGATCTAAAAGAAGTTCGAAGGTTGACAATAGGGTCTACAATAGGTTCTACAAATGTTTGTAAAATCATACGAATTGGCAACAAATGTATTGTCTTGAAATATGTTTAGAATTTACAAAATAGTACGAAAAATAGTTTTTTGCACCCAATTTCATGTATTTAAATTTTTTTTTTTTACTAATCTTATTGTTTGATGCGTCGTATGGAATACGTATGGTATTCAAATAAAATTACTAAAAGTGTCTGGTACAAAAAAGTTTAAAATTAAATATTGAATTTCCAAATTTACGTATTATGCAGTGCTTCAAAATCATATACAGACAGTATAATTGTTCATATATAAATTAGTTTTCTGTTAGAACTGGCTAAATTTAAAATTTTAAGATAGTTTTTAATGCAATATTTTTTCAGTTCTTAGCATTTCAATCTCTAAGTTGAATCTATTTGACATTTTTTTGACTTAATTTTCATAAATACAAATCTTTAATCATTATGAAATAATGAGCCTAATTAGCCATAGGGTGTTATAAATTATTTTAATTAACAAAATATTATTTATATCAACAAAAAATAATTTTTAATGTGTAACATAACATAAATTATGGTATTATAATTTATTAATCACTAACTTTAACTAAACTTTCATTGCTGGTGTGAATCCTACCTATTTGGATCTTTGAGAATTCTCATCAGTTCATCAACAAGAATATAATCTGTGAATGGATGATTCTCACAGACACTTTTAAAATTATGAAATGAATCATTTGAAACGTTGTCAACATGATAGAAATCTTTAGTCATTTCACACAGCTCTTTAGAAATAGCCTTCCTGATATTGATTCTTCGCTGGAATTCTTCGCTCCAGTCAGTACTGACTGGGTCAAAATACTCATCCATTGTAGGCCACCTAATTATATGAAATGATACAAATTAGATCAGATAAGAATCTAAAATAATAGTGCTAAAAGGTAAAAATTGTTTCCCCCCCCCCCTTAAACACATTTAAAACACAGTAAAACTTAGAAGTAACTTTTAAGTTTGTAAGTCTCATTAATGTTAAGTACAGTGTTTATTCCTTAAAAAAAAAAAAAAAAAAAATCCTCCCACATTATTTAGGTCAATTTACGTTAAATTTCATGTTTTAAAAAAATTAAATTATATTTTAATACAAGAGAATATATTTAATACAAGATATGTATACATTTAATCAATGTATATATTTAATACAAAAGAAAAATAAATAAAATAAATCATCACATTATGCAAATTGGGTTTTACCTTTAAAGTGATATACAATTTATTTAAAAATAAAAAAAAATCAAAGTTAAATAAAAATGTACCACAAAATTTGATTCAAAGTAAATTATTAAAATTCCAGTGATATAATCTGATTTTCCAAAAATTTAATACTAATTTATTTAAATCATTAATGTAAAATTCAATGATAAAGATAATTCCTAACATTTTAGATTTTTGAGAAGTGAGAACACAAAATATAATCTTTCTAAAGTAATAAAAAAATTTACGTTTTTTAAACAAACACATTTATATAGGTACAACTTGTATACCCCTTGTTATTACAACAGTTTCTCAACACTTCTACTTCTCCATTGCACATGGAAATGCTTTTTACCTTGATTAGATCCTCTTGGCCACAGTGATGTTTGTTTGTTTTGTTTTTCCTCTTTTTCTCTCAACTAAAATGCTGTTTTATTTTTATTTCTCACCTTTATTTTTCCATTCTTTGTTAACTCAACTATTCGTTTTATATTTCAAATCGCATTTGTTTTCTCTAATTCATGGCTAGCAAGTCTAGAAAATGGGCATCTATTTTTGAGCGCTTGAAACATGACAGCTGTATATTTTTGAAGCAAATAAAGGTTTTAATCAAGGAAGCCTATAGTATAGTATTTTTAGATATATAGCAATTATCATAACGAGACGGTTGAGAATGCACAGACAATGGATGTATGAAAATACCAGGTTTTTAAGCTCAGAAAACTTTATATTTTACCTTTTTTTTCAGTATGTATAACAATAGAGGAGGTGGAAAAACTTGTAATAATTTCCATATAAATATTTTCATGAATAATCGAAAAAGATTGAAATCGCAATGACAGAAGAAACCCGGCAGAGCAACAGAAGAAGAAAAAAACTATTATAATTGTTAAGTCTTCCTTAATAATGTTCAATTCTATATCCTTGTATTTCTGAACCTAATATAGAAGTCAATTGAATTATAGCTTTCCGGACTTTAAAGGGACTTTTTTTAAAATTTAATTCAAGGCATCCTATATATCAGAGTCTAGGCCTCTCTTATAATCCACAAGTTTAAATAAATTAAAATAAACTTAAAGTTTAAATAAAAATATTTTTATTTTATGGCTATTCTCTATCATTCAAATCAGAATGCCTGTTTATTTAATTATTCAAAAGTTTTTTCCTTTTATTAATTTTTTTACGGTATTAGATTCGTTATAAACACTTCATAGTTCTAAGTTCGTTTTTCTATGCCATGGCTCTTTCAACTGTGTTCTGTCAAATCCAATTTGAGTTCTCTGCATTATCTCTCAAAATTCATGGAAATTTCCTTACATTTTTCGTCATTATCTAAACTTAGATGGAAAGGGGGGAAAAATATTGAAATGGAGGTAGAGTTTAATTGCACAAGATAAGATCACATTAAATCAATATAAATTTCAATTATTGAAAAAAATTATCACTTGATTTTTGAATTTTTACTTTACTAAACAAGACTTAATCCTAGTAAACGTTACAGGGTGGATTTGGCAACATTGGCGAACAGATTTTTTCATTGCTACAGGAGATTTTAATTTCATACGTTACAACAGGAAATATTTATTAAACTATAACCTTAGTTTATTATAATACCACAATACCAAACATCCCGACTTGAAACAAATTCATACATTATTCTTTTAGAACATTTATATTAATAACTATTTGGAAACTCATACGTACATTTGAGAATATTTGGTATACCATAGTTTGTTACTTTTGGATATGCAATTGAATAATTTGGAAACGGTAGCTATTTTACAAACATCAATGTAAGAAATACTATCAACACATAAAATTTGTTCAATTAACTCAGCAGGTAAAGAATGAAGACTAGGAAAAATTTTATTCATTTTTTAATCCTTTAAAAAAGAGCAAGAAACTGAAGTATATCTGTTTTATTTAATAGACAATTAGTGTCAACGAATTCTTAATTAAAAAATAGACTAGAATCTTCATTTCAGCCCAAAAAGTACTTTAAACAGTTGACGAGTATATTATTTTCTATTTGTAAACAAATATTGAGTGTTTTGATTTGTATAAGCGCACAATTCATCATTCAATTAATGGGGATTATCAAAACGTTTGAATCTGTTGACGTTCGTAATTATTGAAAGGGAGTTAAAATTGAACTGGATGAATTAAACTCAAAAGTTAGTGGTGCGTTTCACATCTTAAAATGCACTACGTCGAATTTTATGAGCATTAAGAGTTTAAGTGTTTATCAATAGAATCAACTTTATTAAGACTAATTTCATATAATAATCATTCTAAAAATTAAACATTATTTAAAAATTTAGATACGGCGAACTTCTAGATTTTATTCTGAATAAAAAAAAATGACCCAACTAGTAAGCTACAAAACAAACTTCAGACTATAAAGCGAAAATATAATAGAAATACTGTAACCGTGGTTTGTACCATTTGATTTTGATCACCGGTATTTATGATTCTTTACTATATTGTTACTTATTACATGTAAACAATATTATATAGCATCCTATAATATTAAAGATGAAATTAGTGCGTTTTCTCATGAAGCTTAGTCATGAAACAGTGACTATAGAATTGAAAAATGGAACACAAGTACACGGCACAATCACTGGTGTTGATGTTGCGATGAACACGCATTTGAAAGCTGTAAAGATGACTGTAAAAAACAGAGATCCTGTCCAACTGGAGACTCTTAGCATACGTGGAAACAACATTCGATATTATATTTTACCTGATAGTTTGTCTTTAGAAACCTTACTGGTTGATGACACACCGAAAGCCAAAGCTAAGAAAAAGGAAGCAGCTGTAGGAAGAGGTAGAGGACGAGGTCGTGGTAGAGCTAGAGGACGTGGTCGAGGTAGAGGAAGACGTTAATTGACAACAATTCATGTATTATCTATCATTCTACATAATCATTTATTTCCAATTTCTTTCCAATTAAAATTGGCATAAACGAACAATAAAAGTGCTTAAGACTTTTATACATAGATATACTAATAAGTAATTGTTATTCTGTTTTCACCTTCTATTCTCATATTGTGTTAAATAAAGAAGCATTTTGCCATATTTACATGCATCAGTTATTGATATTTGTGTAAATCAATGTTAATTTAATTGTCTATTTAATGCTTGATTGTTCCATAAAAGGATTTAGCTTTATAGTAATATGTTAACTAATTTTACCCTTTGTGTTTGATATTTCCAACCTCAAGCATATGTTTACCCTTTGTGATATTTATATTTTTAAATATAATTTAATTCTGGGATGAAAATTAGCAGGATTATGCAGACAATACAAGTTTATTGGACTATCAACATTTGCTTAAATGTTAGCTTATTTTCTATTCTGAGTGGGAAAATGGGGATATTTCCATGTTGCACCTACTAACACCAGGGATGCCCGGACTAGGTTTTAAATTTGCATATGTTTATATTATAAAAGTAGAGGTTTGTCCTGGGGTGACTACTACCTTTCGAGTAAACAATACATTAAAACAAGTTCAAGGCAATCCTAGACTAGTAATTATACAGGTTTTTAAAATTTATTGTAAATTGGGCAGTGGTATGTCTTTTTGTAAATTAGAGAAGGTTTTTTCTTTGTTTTTTTTTCCTCTGTGGTGACAACATTTGTAACTATTTTTTTATTTTATTAACTTAAGGGTGATGATACATATTATGTGAGATATATTAAACAATCTAGAGTTAATCTTGTTTGGTTATTATTTGGAAGTGAATAAAAATTTTTTTTGCTACATATAGCCTTACGTATTAATATTCATTTTTTAAAATTTTGCTCAATATACTATTATATAATAGTTATTATATAATTTATTATTTTAAATGAGTGCTTTTTATTTCCAAATATAATTTCCAAAAACTTTCTAAAACTAATGAGTTACAAATATATTTCGAAACAATGTGTTCAAGTTTTTTCTTGATATATGTTCAATTATTTCTAAAGTTTTTAAATTCTTAAGTGTTTTAAGTAGTTTTATTAGTGTAATAAATATAGAAATATTATTTGTTGGCAAAATTTTTCTAAGGATAATTTTGTCGCTAGTTGACACCATAAATATCGTTTTTCTGTAGTTTTTTTTTCTTCCTTCAAAATATTATTTAAATATTAATGATATATTTTTATTCTATTTAATTTTTATGTCATTAAAACTAGTTTTTTGGTAATAATATTTAATGTGGTGTAAAATAAAGTTGATTTCTAAACTTAGTGTACTATTTTTAAAAGTTTTATTTCCTAAGTTAACACAAAAGTAGAAATTTTAATAAAATATTGTTCATATTATAGCAGTTTATAATTAAATATTGAGATTCGTATTTATGCAATTTTAAGCTTAAATGCATAGATTCGTATTCACGTGATTTAAAAATCACATATTGAGATTCATATTTACTCAAAATTACATAAAATGAGTTTTGCACATAAAATCTTAAAATGTTTATTTTCAGTGTTTTACCAAACTCATCTCTTTGGTCTGAATCAACATAGAGTTCAAAAAATTTATTTTTTAATAAAAAAAATCAGTAATTTTTCGAACGAATTTTGCCAAAATGAGTGGCGGTGAAGGGATGGAAACAGTAGTTGTTACAAAAGTTACTCAATGCGTGCAGAAAGCACGCATGTTCGCAAAAAGTCTTTCATTACATTGAACTCTGTTGATTGCTGTATCCAGAAAATTGCTTTAGCGGAAGAAAAAAAAAAGATCTTTATTGAGGATGCAAAATTTTTGTTTTTCTAAAATGCAAATAAAACTAATATTTCCAAAAACTGCCAGATTCTGATACGGAACATAATCGTACCTGTTTTCAACCAAAACATAGATGAAGACGTAAATAAATAAAGGGGTTGAACCACGCATCACAATCTCCACACAATGGAGAACATTGTGTAGATTTTACAGAGTTAAATTTTCAAAGTTAGTTTTGATTTTGTTAGATACTTTCACAGTTTGGCGCAAAATGTTGCAAGAAAGTTTAAAATATGGGGTCACTAAATGTCGTAAGTTTAAGAAGCACACTTTGTTGCAGCTGCATTATCCTTGCTGCAAGCAATTGATCTTTCTTCTGCTGTTTTCACTCTAAATCATATTAGGAGGGAAATGTGTTTAGCCAACTTAAACGAAATATGATCAAATTATATTTTAGCTAAATTATAAATAGATCTTTTGCAAGAAACACTTTTAATACTAGGAGAAAAATTATAAGCATTAAAGCTATAGAATTAATACTTATCAAATTTTTAGCAACATTTAAAAAAAAATTTCACCCAAGAAGTTATATGCTAACAATTTGAAACTTATATGTCATGTTGCTCTGAGTTCTAAAATCGTTTGTTATGTTGACTTAATTGTCTTTAATACTTAACTACTCATTTTTATTTTATTAATATGGAAATTATTTATTGTTATCATTTGTCGCCAATAGGCAAAATTTAGTTATTCTGATTCTCTTTGGAGCTTTACGATTCACATTGTAATTAACTACTCATTGCTGCAGTTTTTTTAAATTTTATTTACCTGATTTACAAATTAACATATTTCAAATTGATCTTGAATTGCTTTTTATATACAAGTAACACTGTATTCACATAATTTTAAAATTAAATATCGTGATTTGTATTCATAAGATTTTAAAAAAATCACATAGTAGATTCGTGCAATTTTAAAATAAACCGTCGTGATTCGTGTTCATGTGGTTTAAAAATCACACATCAAATTTTAAACTCTGTTTTATTAAGACACTATTCGTTCAAACTTTGTATCTCGCTATTAAAAATTACATTCTTTAAACTAAACTCAGTGGCACGACAGCCCGTAGAGGGCCAAGGCCTACTGTGCCCATCTCAGTTTTCTTGGGCTCTGGGGTGCAGGAGCAGATGCCCCGATCAGGTGGTCAACTGAACGCGGAACCCCAGTGTTTAGTTCCCAAGCATGCTTGGTACTCATTTATCGACCGGCTGAAGGGATGAAAGGCTGAGTCAACCTTGCCCGGCCCGAGGATCGAACCAGGGACCTGTGGCACGACAGCGCGAAGCGCTACCGCTCAGCCACCGGGCGTCACATTCTTTAAAGTGATGTAAAAAATTCTGTACCTTACAATTCAAAAATTTTTCAACTATCATTTAATGAAAAAATAAATGATTAAAAATTAGAACAATTTATGCAAAATTAGCATGAAGTGGTTTAAACTTTATACCACTCTCCTGACCAAACTCTAGGGCCATACTTCTCAGATTGTGACAGCCCTTTATAATTTGAAGGTCAGATATCTGCATCCGCCAAGAAAAGGTCTGTTTATTCAGAGAAAGTTCATTTTTGTGCCTGATTTCGTAACTTGAAATATCGTCTGCTCTAATAAATTGCCATATTTGAGGTCCCCCCCCCCCCTTCAAAACATTCAGATTAAAGTCCTAGAACATGATTCAATTAATCATTAGATCAAAAGTTATTCAGAGTTGTTCGTTTTTTATTTTATTATTATTCTGCACACCGTACTCTCTAAATTAGGTCTTGATGTTCACAGTAGGAACGTGATAATATTGCAGAGGTCTTTTAATTTATTCTTTTTAATTATTTGTTTTAATAAAATTTATATTTGAACAGTATGCATGCTACGTTTGATTGGTATAAGAAACAAAAACAAACAGTAGGACTTGCAAAAGAATACTGAACAAAATCAAGTCAATTACAGTGAGGGATAGCAAATTCACTAAGTGCATGTTTGCATTGGCATTTATTCTCAGCCAGTGTTACCAAACGAGCGATTATTTTTGAAGAACATTTTAAGAGAGCAAATAGAAAGTTGCTTTATTTTTTATTAGAAATGAACTTATTCCACATTCAAAAATACTAGCTCATATCAGTTATTTAAGTAAATTGTATGAAATAGGTGCACAAAAAGTTTACATGAAAATCATGTCATTGTCCCATGGTAAACTGGGTATTACAGTACTTTTTTGTCATTGTTAAGACAAACAATTTTATACAATATACAAAGATATAATAAGTACAAGAAGATTTGATCAAAATCGGAAATTCTGAATACTTGTCCATGAAAAATGCTTGTTGATTAAAGTGAATTATTAAAATGCAGTTAATTAAAGTGAAAATACTAGCAGAAAACAGATACTTAGTTATTATTTTTAATGAAAGTCTTATTATTAAAAATATTGAGATGACTAAATACATGCAGTTGAGCATTTTAATTCTATAGATTTGACATTTTTTTTCAATAAATGTGAAAAACAATTATTTTATAAACAATAAAATGAGATGTATATTATTACTTATATTGTAATCAAAATACAGCTTATAAAAAAACTAAATTTATTTACAAAGAAAAAAAGATTACAAACAGTATTCTTCATTAATATCATAATGAAACAACACAGTCACCAATCGTCTTGTGGCATTACAAAAGTTTCATTGTCTCTTTTGAGAATAGTAAGCTTTGGTCCAAAGTAACTAATAATGTAATGAGAGCCATCTGCTGGTCCAACAACCTAAAAAATTACCAGCAGTTAGTATGCATAGGGAATTCTTTTTAGAAATGAGAACATTTAAAATAAAGATAACAGTTTCTATGTTTATACAAATAAAATCTTAAAAACAACTTTAGATTGTTATATTTATCGAAAATGTAAAATTAAATTTTGATTTCCACTCGAGTGAAAATAAAATCTTGATTAAAATTGTTTTAAATTACTTATGAGGTAATTGAAATTTTTTGGTTGCAAAGTAGAATGCAATGGATGCTACAATTAAGAGCTTTATGACATCCAGAAAACTACTCTGTGGAAAAACGTTAATTACATTATTGATTGTTAAATGGATCAAAAAAATTTCATGTTAAAGCTTAAATACATAATATATTTCTTTATTCCTATGCTTTTAATACCCTCCAAAAAATTTCTTTATAATAAAATATTCTTCTCATCGAACTATATATATATTATTAATTTTTTTGGTAAATTTGGTTTTTTGGATGATAAAAAATACTTGTTTTTTGACCAGGTAATACATCAGCTTACATACAATTGCAATTTGTTTATTTACGCAATGCATTTTTGTACTGCTAGTTTGAAGTTTACATGAAATTTACATTCTTATTTATACTACAAAGCTTAAGTTTATTGTGTTCATTTTGGAATTGATTCTATTTTTCCCCCCCAAAAGAACAGAAATTTTAAGCACATGAGTCGAACATATATATTTTTTTAATAATAGGATCTAAATAGTTTGTTATAAAGGACACTAATTTGCAAAAAAAGATCAAGAACTTTAAAAAACATAACTTAAATGACTAGAAATAAAAGTTTCACTAGAGTTTTAAAACAATTTACTTACTTGCAGTGCAATCAATATAATGTCCACTAATTGTCCCAGAAACATAAAACCAAGAGTACACAGCTTAGCTAATCCTGAAAATATATTTTGTTATATGTAATGTTTTCACTAAAATGTTGCTTTAAGAACAAAATTTGTAACTCATTATCAGTGAAAGCAAGCAGGATGTATTCTGTTAAAAAACAATTAAAGGCTGACAAATTTTCTAATCATCTACATCACACATTAAATAATTTGAATTAAAAAACATTTTAAGCCAAAATTATAAATCTTATTTTAACAACTTATTCAAATTAAGTAAAACAACAATATTTGGATAAATTACAACTAATAGCACAATTTTAATAAATGTTTGTTTTTAATTAGATAAAGATAATCAGTTTCTTCAATTTAATACAAATTGCTAGAAATTACATAATCCAATTGGATATTAAATATCAGGACTCACCAATAGCGTAATATCCAAGGTAAAACCTATCAAATCCAAACATTCCCAAGAAGAGTGACAATAATAACGCTGTTTCATATGAATAACCATTTCTGAAAAGGAAAGAAAATTAAAAAGAAATAACATTATCAAGGCATCAAGTATATCTATTAGATAAAACTATAGTTTTCAAAATAGTAAATCCTACTGGCATTGTGCTTGCTTAGTGCGTACTAAAAATCAACATAACTTACAATACTAAAAATTTTAATATTTTTTTCTCCACTTTATACTATTTATCTCAATTATAAATACAGGGAGATAAAAAAAATGATTTGCCTTACCAACACATGACCTTCACGGAAGCAAACCATTTAAATATTTTTTTTTTGGATAAAAGTATGAGCTCTAGAATTTCGTAAAAAGGATCGTGCCGCTTTCATGGCCATGGTTACAGAGATAGAATTATGAAATTTTTATGCAGCAACATCTCGTTTTTCTCATTGTAGCATCATCTTCTCAGTTAAAAACTTAAAAATGGAGTTGGAAAGATATCTTTAACACAGAAAGATGCAGCATACAAATTCAATACAAGCATGTTCAAAATTTATAGACTACTTTTTTTTCATAACTGCTGAACACTGCCATTTTTCGTGCTAAAAATATTGCTCCAAATCCATTTCAAGATTTTACTATGATGCTGTTTATATATATATATTCCTTCTCTCGAACAGTAAGTTAGCCAAGGGCTCATATGTTAGCAAAGTTCTTTGATAATCATCCAATATATATTTTTTAAGGTTCTCAGGTTCCCTCTTTAATACTTATAAGTTCACCATGACACAGTAAAACTATTTTATTTTATAACCGTCGTTGAACAGCCGACCCAATTTTTGGGTTTACGACTACTAGTGTACTACATAGACTTGCAATTTTGAACTCAATCCAGAAGACAAGGATACAACTTATACTGTTTATCAAGGTTTTACAGCTTAATGAAATTTCATGTCATTTAAAAACAATACTTTTAATTTATAGTTTTACAAAACTACAAATCAATTCCAAAAAATAATTTATTTTTTTTAAACTTACGTATATTGACACTCTATATCTCTTTCAAACATTGTTTGATTTAAACCTGTACCATTTCTGCATTTTATTCCTTGAGCTGGCCGGCACAAAACTGAAAATATAAAACTTCAATGAATAAGGACAAAAAATACTTTTAGTTTAATTTAAAATCAGATAATTAAATTGCTCTATGCTTCAGTACTATTAACTATTTGTCAAGAACACTAGTTTCCACTTTTTCTAGTTGGGCAAAAATTCTATATATAATTATGATCTAGACATTACACCATAGTTGTAATTTCTTATTCCAAGTTTTTGCTCTCATAGGAAAAGCAGAAAACAGTTTTCTTTATAACTTTCTCGAAAAGTAGTTACCAGGACTGAAAATCTTTATGCATATGGGATTCTATTGAACTTAGAAAATTAATAAAGCAGTCACTTTGATAGAACTTAAAAGGTAATATGGAATTAATTATCTGCATAAATATTTTTCAATTTACTTAAAATACAGTTATAAATTGCAGTCTCATTCAAAAATATGAAAAGAGATTCTAAGCATCCGAAGATATATTAGAAGCGGAAGATGATGAAAGCAAAGAATTTCAGCAAAACATACATAAAATTACATGAAGAACTTAACATATTTACATCAGTCGAATTAGCGGCATTTTGAAGAAAATGCATGCCATACCAACTTTTAAGAAGCCAATACAGTTATTAGTTTGACTGAATTTTAAAAATATCTGATATTCAATTAAAATACTTGATTTTTGGTATTACAAAATTTTTAGTGCCAACCATCGAGTTAAGGATTTTAAGGTTTGACTGTATAAACAAATTAATATTGAAACATTTATGTTGAACTATCAACCAAGTTGTACTACCTTTAAAAGAATATGAAAAAAATAAAAATGTACACAATGCTAATTAAAGCAAAAGGCAGATGTAGGATTTAAAATGGTAATAAAAAACAGTGAGATGAACAAAAATATGAACATTTGATAACATATAATAACTTTTACATTACATTTATAACTACAATAAAAATAATCGACTTAAATATACATACCTTTTGCCAAATTATTTTTCTGACATGACCATGGTTGTTGGGTTTTAGGATCAATATCTGGTGGAAGACAAAGGTATCTGATAAAATTAAAGAAAATATATGCAAAAGTGACAGCACAACAATATGAATTATACTGAATGGATGGTTTTTTCAGTACAAATGTAAGCAAAAACAAATCTCAAGTTCTTTATCTTCACGAATTTCTATCAGGAAATTTATTTCCTGCATGGGACATTTTCAAGTATTTAAATTTTGTTGTCAATAAAAGAAATAAATAATATAATTTCAGAGCTCAAATCTTCTGTATGTCATAAGATATTAATGAAATTAAGTAGTTCTGGTGAATTTGAAGTGAAAATTTGTTTTAGTTATAGAATATTGTTTAAAAAGCCAGCATGATTGCTATATTTAGAAACAACTCGCTTTTTTGGTTTCTTTTGATTTGTTTATTACTATTTGTTTTTGTTTCAAGCAGTGCACCGTATATATGTTAGATGGAGACAAGTTTATTTTGCAACACAAATTTTTTTTTAAATTTCAAAGTTGGTATACTGTTGAAAAGTGTTTAATAACAATTCTTATTCTAATATTAATTTTAAGTTTTTATTGCTTCTCAAACTACATGTTTACTCTCTTTACACTATTTATGTTTATTATTCTATAACTTGCATTTACTGTTTTTTCCCATTTAACGTCTTTGCGTAATTTACTTATTCACTGTTAACATAGTGAACATGTTGAGCCAAATGTCCTCAAAATACATGGAATACGGTAACCGCAGATTTGGGCAGTAATAAGTAAAGTCTACAGTGCTTTCTAGAGTAGAAAACACCATCTATATAAAATATCTAGAAAAACTATAATTTCTTAAATGAAAAATTAGTTTATAGCAGAACAAATTTTCTTGCTGAGTGAAATATAAAATTTAACTTTCATGACTATTTTTCTTCTGCATTAGTATAGTTCGAAGACTATTTAAACATTACATAAATCAGCTATAATCACTTTATTGCTTCAACTTTAGAGAAAAATTTATAAAAATTCTAAACATTATATTTCTGAGTCTAAAAAAAAATGACACCATTAGTTTTAACTTTTTTATAAAGCTACTCTAATCAAACCATACTCTGGCATCAAAATTTTATTAAGAATAATTTTATAAAATGGAGATGTAAGGATTTTTAACAGTAGAAAAAACATGTTTGGCATGCATAAAGATTAAATAACTCCCAGATGAATAAGAGAAACCTGGATGTATAGTGTCACTGAAATAAAGTCAGCTCGATCTTATGCCATAACTGGACACAAAAAAAAACCCCAATAAGAATCAAATATATATATTAAGAGAGTCTATATCCAAAAACATATTTACGAAGAGTAACTTAATTCCTACCCAACCTGGGCATGAAAAAGAATTAATTAACTTTAAAAAAAAGTGGAAAAATAGTATTCTGCCGAAATAAAGTTACTATTGTTAACATTTAACATACCAACACATCATAATGTAATACAATACAGTGTATATACAGTAAAACTTGTGTAAGTTGACCACTTGTGGTGCATTGTTTTAGTGGTCAACTTATAGAGGGGGTGGGTCATTGTTTACTTTTTCGTTTCCTATATCAAGTTGCTATATATTTAATTTTTTTTTTTAATTGACTTAAACATTTTATTCAGAAAATATGCAAATGAATATGTTAAGAAATGTGTTTAAACCTGAATGAACTTCAATTTGATACATATAATTCTAATATTTAACTAATTTTTTTAAAAAAAAAATTATTTCGTTAGTTATGCATGTGAAGTGTTTAATAAATATAATTTCTTAAAATATCAGAACACGAAAACATGTAATTTGAAAACTTTAACAAAATAAAATTATTTGAACACTTTAAAATTTATTTACTACACTTAAAGATCAAAGACCATAAATAAAGGATCAAAGCATATTTCAGAGAATTCATTTATTCAAATGCTCACTATTGCAACAAGAGCAACTTTTCAACTAACACACCTGTTTTCAATGAACGGATGGGAGAAATGGTAAAAAGCTGACCCCTCACAGTTTCCCCTTAGGGTCAACTCACAAAAGGGTTTAGATTAGCTTTTTACGCTATTTCACCAAATAAGTGAAATTTTAACATACATTGCCAAAATGACAAAATTTTCTGAATTTTTTTTCTGGTCAACTTATGAGGGTTCTAGAATAGAATTTCATAATACTCCAAGACAAAATTGACTTATTTCAGTGGTCAACATACAAGATAGACAGGTGGTCAAGTTACAAAGGTTTTGCTTCTTTATACAGTAGGGAACCGATTATCCGGAACGATCGGGACTATCGCTATTCCAGATAACTGATTTTTCTGGTTTTCTGAATCGCTACAAAAAGCCGTTTTTTTTATTGTTAAATCCAACTAAAAAAATTTTTTTTTTGGAAATAATCTTAAAAAGAAGAAAAAACGATGGAGTAATACACTAATGATTATTTACAAAATGATGGTAAGGTTAACATCTTTCAAAAAAGAAAGAAAAATCCTAAAATCTTATGAGGAAAAAAAAAATTTTTTTTTAAAAATGGTGGGAAAATTTATCGAATTTCGTTCCGGTTTTCTGATTTCCGGATAACGGATTCTGTACTGTATTATATAGGAAAAATTCCGTTCTTGATAATTGAGGTCAACTTATGCAGGTGCCCAACTTACAAGGGGGGTCAACTTGGCAGGTTTCACTGTAACTGGTCTTTTGACTGGTCATGGTATGTTTAATGTTAAAAGCCTATATATTCACCATGTTTATACATGATCTGTAATATATGAACGCTGTGTATCATTAAATAAATCCTTGAGAACATTAGCTTCAATATTATCCCAGGTTTCAATGACGGCTTCAATTCTGCTACAAACTTTTGTGACCACCCTGCAATTTTATTAAAATTAATTTAACTAACGAACAGTGGTCAAATAAATTTACAAATCTTACGTTAAATTTCAGTTATTTAGAAAAAAAAATTGATAAGAATATTGGTTATCTCTAAAAATATTTAAACCTATTATACATACTTAACATTTCTCTGTGATAGAGGAAATATAATTTCACAATTTTAGGACCAGTTGCAAAAGATTAAAGTTATTGAAATCTAAAACACTGTTTTAAACATCTTATTGCACAAAGAAAGCAAGAAAATTCAGAAGAAATAAGATAAATTGCTATTCTGGTGAACTAGAATAGCATGATAGCGGAATGCGACATGTAAATCATAAAATAGTTTTGAACCAGATGCTTTTTGCCATGTAAATTATTACATGCCCCAAGCATGGAATATTTCCGTATCGTGATCTGTAACGCCAACTACAATCGCCAAGGTGCTAAATAAATTTTAAACTTGCAAATTTTTTTAAAAAAAATATGTAGATGTTTTCCCGGGGGTGGCTACGAGTTATACCTTTCAAGTTGGTCCCTTTCTGTGATGTTTTTTTTTAGTTTCTCGCGGGCCACTGCCCGGAAGTTTCCAAGACTTGGCGATAATTCTGCCACAGATCACGATACGGAAATACGAAGCTGAATACATTACTTGCAGAATTGTAATTTATAAAAGAAATGAAATGAAGCGGTAATGTATCATTCATACATTGCTAAGCCAACTTGACAAAGTAGTGTATTAGTTAAAAAAAAATTTTTTGGTTAACATATTGCTTAAATCACAACACTATAAAAATTATGCAGTAATTGTATATGGATATACCCATAAAAGGATACTGTCCCATTAATAAATTAGAGCAGTTAGCTTCATAAAAATTTGCAAAGGTCTTCTGGGAAAGCATCAAGAAAATTAAAAGGCAATATAATGAAAGTTTCATATTTAAAATTTAACAGTATTAGACAATAGAATTGTCTGTTTTTCAACCAATTCCTGTTATTTCCATAAAATGTAACAAACAGTCAATTTTGTAAGATATAAAACTAATAACTAATTGATTTTGCAATTTTCTTTTCTCTCTAATGTTATGTTTGTTTATTAGAAACGTTTCCGACTACATACTTCTGTCACTTCTTATACTTCCGTTCAGTCCTCGTTTTCTTCTTTTCCGGTATTTGTTAAATAACATTGAAAAATTTGATATTCCTTGAAATTATTGAATTAATTCATTGAAATTATTCATTATTTCAATTTGTAAAAATTCGCTGCTTTTGAATATTTTTCGTTAAAAAAAATTATGGGCATAAGTATGAAGTGAAGAAACTTTATTGACATTTTGAAAATGGAAGTTCTTTATGTTTGTTATGAGTAGTCTGCATTAACCAACGAGTATTAACATTTCTATAAATGATGCCGGAAATGTTCTTATTCAATTGCTCTGCAATAATTCAAATGCAGCATGAATGCCCTTCCTGGCCGTCTATATAGGAATCGATGATTTATGAAAACTTTATGGCTTATATTTTTCTAGCATGGAAAATGTAAATGTAAATTTGCCCAGTGTTGACTCAGTTACCTATCATTCTAAATAAGGTTATTTACATTTAAATTGTTTGAAATATTTGTCTGATGCATGTGTAATATTAACAAATTTATTTTATTGTTCAATAAATGCGTAGTGTAATACGGTGTTTGATTAGTTAACTTTGCTCCAATTTGATAGGTGATTGATTTTGATTCTTGATTCTGTTACTTCAATTCTTAAAAATATTTTTGTATTTATCATTAAATTAGTTTAAAAAGGCACTAAGCGTTATGTGACTTAATAATTTGATATATCTATTTATATTTGTACTAACAATGTCTGCTGTTTATAACCTTTTTCCATTATTTGACTTAAAAATTGTATCGTTATTCTTTTTTATTTATATATGCTCTCACTATTATCAGTTATGCCATCCCCTTACACATTGAAAGGTGACTATTAATAAATTACATATTACTAATATTATACAGAAACTAAGGGTTTCTAAAATATTTTGTTTATATAAACATTGTAAGTTATTGGAAAGTTTACATCCTAGTGTAAGTTATTATCTTTTTCATTTGCGGCATGTTGCGGTGCATTTTGTTGCAAGGTATGTGTAAAACACAATACCTTGTTGGCACATTTCCCTTGCAATGTGTCTGAAAAAAATTGTGTTCTACTTCAAATTATGTTCTACTTGAAACTATTTAAAAAATTTAGACATTTTGAGTGTATCAGAGATGATTGTACTCCGGAAAAAATCCTGATGTCCAGATTTTTCACTAACCGCGATCCGGAAATCCAAAGTCCAGACGTTTGCAGAAACCATCGATCACATTTATGTATAAAAATTCTTGTATATTTTATTTAAAAATATTAGAACTAGAATTTATACTTTGCATCTCTTTCATTTGTAAAAAATTTTTCTGGTAGAATAATAAATGTGATTAGAGCTAAAAGCAAATATAATTCCATATAATTTCTTTAGAATTTCACGCTGTGAAAATATCAATGATTTTTTTAAATGCGTCATTAATGATTTTACTCAGGAAATTTTTAGGATTTTTGAGCTGGGCTCACAATTACCCCTGGTGTATGTTAATTTATTTTTATAAAAACTTGAACAATATCTGAAATGTTATGATTGTTGGGGGAGCATTTTCAGGTGTATTCTGAAAAGCAGAAGTTGCTTATGGTCAGTAAGATATTGAAATTGTTGAGCTTGAGAACTTAACTGCAAAATGTGCTACTAAAAGTTCATGATCATGCCTTAAGTATTTTTGTTGTGCAGGCGTCAACTTTGCAAGAAAAGATTTTATGAATATTATCGCTTATTTTATTTTAAGTGTTGCAAAACACCACCAATTGCAATAGAAGCAGTAACTTGCAAAGACCATGCGACTTCCTTAGTGATGTTCCTAAATAGTGAAACTAATTTGCATAGATCCTGTAAGTTGTTCAAGTTCTCCAGGTACTTGCAAGAGCTTATGAACTTCAGAAAATAAAATGGTTTGATAAAGCTAAAACTATCTGCACTTGCGGCAACTGCTGTGTCAAGGCTTTTTTAGATGGCTGCTGGAATCTAATATATCGACAGGTTTGAACCACTACAAGACCAAGTTTTAAAGGGAATGGAAAGTTCTATCAGTTAATGTTAAAATGGACATCTTAAAAAAGTTTTTTAAAAAGCGACTTTGTTTTTTCAAAACCTTTTTTTTTTGTTTAAATTCTTTAATCTGTTATACTGGAATATTTAAAAATCAGTATTATTATTTTTTGCTTAGGTGAAATGTAGAAAATTCGACTTTTACTATTGAAATTCGGAGTTTAAGAGCTTCTTGTTAAAAAATAAAGTTTAAATGTAAATAAAAACCTGTTCTAAAATATGCTTCATTCTGTTTAGAATATTTGGTACATTAACAAACTCTTGACAATTTACTTTCATGAAAACTAGTTTTTTTCAAAATATTTTATCTTAGAAATAGATTTGTTAATTTAAAATTGGTCCCTTGTCAAATAAAAAAAAAAACTATTATATGTCATTAATTCGCACCCTGTGTGTTGTAGAATTTGTAAATAGCAATGAATAAACTTGTTACTTTATTAAATGAGAAACAGAGATTTTTTGTTCAGTCACAATAAACAAGACCCTGATTGAAAAACTTGATTTGATACTAATTTAAAATTCTCAAAATTATGAGTAAATTTTTTTAAATTTTACTAAAACAAGACCTTTAAAAAAAACCCTAATCAGTAACAGAAACTCTCCAGCATGGCAGTGGGTGCTGTGAATTATTTTTCATTAATTTTTTTTTTTTTTTTTTTTTTTTGTTAAAGTGAACATGCAATTGAGGGTGCTGGGACTTCTTTAAAAAATGTCTCTGTACTTGCTCGTAATAAAAAATAAAAAGGTGAATTGAGAGAATGCCACTAAAAAAAAAAAGTAAATATTTTTTTCTGTTACTTGGTTAAAGGCTAAACTGTGTAGGAATTTTTTTTCTCTATTTTTTTTTTTTTTGGCACATTGTATAAAATTCAACCTAAACTTAAGCAACATATATTTTTATGTATTACTTTGAGCACCTTATATTATAAAATTTTGCTGCATGTATGTTAGATTAAGTTGTAATTTTGCAATAATAATCTCTGCATAACTACATTGAAGTTGCAGATAAATTTTGGTTTGTGAAGATAATGGAACAGATTCAATTTGTAAATTCTGCTATCAGGATCATAACAAAAGGAAGACTAAGAAAAAGCTTCTGAAAATTATTTAGTAGTTTTTTTAAAACATAAATGAAACAATAAACTACTTTTATTTTTATGTGGGATACAACAAGCGTGTTCTCCCATATTATCTTTTGCTTGTAATAATTGATATAAATGTTTTCGAATGGTTTTACTATTTAAAACAAGATCATAATATTTTAAAATGTGCTAGTTGTTTTGAAGTATTGCATTTGCCGAGGTGCATAGATAAAAGATAGATTCAGAGGATGAAAATTCTGTTTTTTTAAAGATAACAAATTTGTGAAATCAAACATTTTTTCATTTTTTGTTTGTTCTAATTACATAAATTTTTGTTTTTTTGCAAAATAATATGAATTTCAATTATTAATTTTACTTAATTCTTACAGGTTATATTTCATGTGAAACATTTTGCCTAGTAATCATCTTTGTAACTTCATCATGATGAATACAACTTTTAAGGAAAATACTATAACAAATGTAAGTATTTAGTACAAATTTTAACATGATAATTAGTTTTTGTCTTTAATTATTTAAATGTAGTCAATGCTGTCTATATAATTTAAATAAAAATTGTGTCAAAGTTAAATGAATCAAATTTGATTCATTATATGTAATTTATTGATCAATTTATTATATATAGTTAAGAACATTTTACTGCCAAATTTACTGAAAAATTTGTATTACAGTTATGCTTATCAACAATTTTATGAAAATTCTGAACATTAAATATACTAAATTTCTTATCACTTATGCTGCATATAATAAAAATTGAAAGAAAGCAAGAGACTTAACTTTTGGTTGCTGAAGATGTGAATTCCAGTGTAAAATCATTTGTGCTGTCCACTGAAAATATATTTTCCTATACTACTCAGAAAGAGATTGAGCAAATTCTGGGACAGACAGCCAGTGGTGCATGATCTGAATGGTTAAAATCATTACTGTACATAAAGACTTAAAAATGTTTAATTTTTTTAAATACCAAAGACTAGATATATTACCTTTCTTTTCTTTCTTTATATGAAAACAAACAATTTAGAGTTATTTTTAATAAACTATTTGTGATAAAAAAATATGCAGCACTCTATTTCAGAGTTTGTCATTATGCATCTGGACCCATATTTCTTTCATCGGGATGCATATTTCATGCAACAGATTTAAGTTATACTCCAAAAGATTTCTGGGGAAGAAATACTCCGTGCAAAATAGGAAACTCTGCCAGTATATCTAGAGCAGTGTTTCTTAACCTTTTTGGTATAATGGACCCATTTTAAAATATTTTAAGAAGTCACGGACCACCCCCCTGTGAAAAAAATAATTGCAAAAACCATCCATCATTAGAAAACATTTAATTTTATTATCTTAATAGTATACAAAATTTTGATAATTAAGATTTTTAATGTGAAGGTTGCTGCTGCTTTTCCTTAATTAACAAGTTGAATTGGGGGATAGTTTTCGACAAAGTAACGTGCATATCGTGTTCAACATTCAATCGATTTCGATGTTTTGTTTTTATAGTCACGAGTATGGAAAATCCCGCTTCGCAAAGATACACCGTAGCAAACAGAATTATAGCTGCCATAGATTGCTTTACAATCAATGGGGGCTTCCAAACGTTTTAAAAATTAGGACTAGTTAGCGGACCCCCAAAATATGACTCATGGACCCCTTAGGGGTTCATGAACCACAGGTTAAGAAACCCTGATCTAGAGGAAGGGACAATAACTTCTTTCATGTATTCTGAATTTAAAAAAAATTAATTCTTATTGCTCTAACATAACTGCTAATAAGAGCAGCTGATTTTGAAAGAGATTTGCATCTCAAAATGGAATTAAATTTGAAAAATCAGCTTAGAAGGAATTGGATAATCTTTCCAGGTTGTTTTGTGAAGGGCACATTTTTTTTGCTACTAATTAAGGTGTCAATTGTAACATGAATTTCGAAGATGCTATTAAGTAGTAGAAATAAAAAAAAGTACTTAAAAATTTGAATTCCATTTATGTTAAATAAATTTTTGTTTACTTTAGAAACCATAGTCTGTAAATAGTGAAAATAACAGAAAATAATGAGGATTGATGTTTTTTGATCAAATATTGAAGCCATAATTCTAGTGTATTTTCTTTGAATAATTTATATGTTAGTTATATTCTGTGTTGTAAAATAACTGTTATCTATAAATGTAATCTCTGTTTTGAAATTCACCACTCTATTTTAAAATTAACTCCTTAAATATTAATGGACAAGTGGAAAAAAATTTCTTAGCAAAACACTGCTATACCAGAGATGCCAACTGCTCCGGACACGCCAAAATAATTAAAATAACGGTAAAGTAAATTTTGCAAATATCTGACTATATTTGTTTGTTCTTTAAAAGACATAGCATGACATAAATTCTATAAAGTGGTGAATTATATAAGCCTGCGAATTATTTAGAAATAGTGGTGGATAAAAATCTACCAAATTGAATTTATTAGACCAAGAATCACAATTTATAAACAACCACTTTGAAATATATAATTGATGTCCGGAGCAAGTTGGCATCTCTGCTATACTAATAGTATTTCTTATTATAACATTTTCACTAAACTAAAAATTCATATAAATTATGCATAGGAAATTTAAAAATCTGATTGGTGCAAATTAGGAAAACCAACTAAACTGAAGTGGAAATGGTTCTTAAGTTCCTGATAGTTAAGAACCTGAAAGTTATGAGCTAATTTTTTGTGTATTATAGTGCTTGCTGCTATAGTCTGCTTTTTTTTAATGGAATTGTTTAAAAAAAATTTAACAAAAAAAGGCAACCAAAATTTTTGATAAATGAAAAAGTCAAGATGTCATGGTGAAACTATGAACTGGATTGTTCAAATAAAAGATTTGAAGCTAGATTGATAAATTCTCTATTGTAGAACTTGCTAATTGTTATCAATAGTTTAATTTACTACACAGTTGCAGTGATGTTAAAAATGCAGAAGATGGCTTTTGAAACTACTGGAAGTATTCCTTATAAACTACAATTTCATAATTAATAATTTTTTTTTTCTTACTGCATCTTTTTAAAAGAGTTCTGATATAACTATATATAGATATTTTTTTAAATAGGATTGTCCTATTATGTACTTCAATGTTTGAAGAAAAATTTAGCCTGTATTACTGCATGCAAAACTAAATTTATTGTTACAATCTAAATTGGTTAAAAAATTTATTAATGTTTCTATCTATTGTTCTCTTTCATAAATCAATTTTCTAATTTTATCTTGATAAACTAATTAAATGAAATAGTTTCTTAAGCTGTAACTTATTTTGAATTTAAATTATAAAATGAAAAATATACATTTTTTTTTTAAATTTCTGTTTGATATGGTTATGTTAATTCATATAAATAATTATATATTTACATACTATTTAATAAAGCATTAAGTTACAGTATCATATCTATTATTTCAAATCTTTCATTTTATTACTTAAGATTTTAAGTAATCTATTTCAACTATATTTTCAATTCATGTTTAAATTTTTGAGTTTAAAGATTTACAAATGTTTATTTATGTTTGATTAATAATTATTAATTGATGTTATGCTTATTGATAAGTATTAATTGACCCATGTTTTATCAGCCACAATTCAAACTTTCAGATCATATTTTTTTTACATAATTCAATATCTTTTAAGCAAAACTACCAACAACTACACAAAACTACCAACAACTACACATTTTGCAAAATATTTTATATTTTGAAACTTTTTAAAAATGTAGTTAATTTGCCAGCATTTTATGTGCTCTACTGCAAAAGAACTGGAAGAAAGTGACTTTATATATAAACTTTTAAATCATTCACTTGTTGCAGAGTGGAAATTAACTTTAAGTCGAATTTAGTAAACAAGGAAATAAAAACTTTGCTCGCACTAAAATAATAGAAAGAGCATAGGAGCAAAGTGTAGAAAGTTGGTATTCCAGAGGTAGATCATAAATATGAGAACTAAATTGTCTGTGAAATGCCAAATTTTTCTCCTCCTCCTCATGCTTTTAAAGCATTGTTATTGATTATTTTTTTGATATTGCTTTTACCCTTTATTGGGCAAAGCTTTTTTGCCTCTATTTTTACACTTTGACAAATATTTTTTTTTAATATTCAATATTTTCTAATATTTCATAAAATGTTTAATTTGGGGCCTACACCATATTATAAAATTTTAATTTAAATTAAGCATTTAATAGTTGAAATTAAACATTTAATTTGTTAAGTAGTTGAAAATGTTTATAAATCAGTCAGAAAAATTGAAGGGCTTATTCTCAAAATCAATCAAGATAGAAAGTTGAGAATTGAGGAATCATGAAAGGGCTTGACAAAAATAATTTATTTTTATTTTTTATATTTGCTTATCTTTGCTCCTCAGTTTATGGTAATATTTAAAATAAGCTTGACCTTTTCCTGCTATGTCATGTACCTTTATTGACATTCAACTAGAGCTTCTTTCTTTGTTCCAAATTTTAAGTGTTTGAAGAGGCTGTAAATTAGAGTAAATGACTGAGGAACTTGTTCATGTTTATGGACTGAGATTTTTTGCAAAACTCTTATCCCAGTAGGGTTTGTAAATAACTCTTTTTCATTCACTGTAAATAAAAACTTCACGATTTCATTGAATCTAATAAATTTTTTTTACTCTTTACTCCTCTAGGTATCTGATAATTGGTATACGAGCTTCACCTATTTGTTGCTACTCATTTCAATATCTGTGTGCTGCATGATACAATATGTGCTGAGAAAAACAAAATCAAATTTACATTCTACAAATAATGAACATTTTCTCAAATTTCAGAGGAAATACTATGTTGTGTATTTTCTTGCTCTCTTTGGTGATTGGTTACAAGGTCCCTACATTTACAAACTTTATAGCCATTATGGTTTCACGAGCACCCAAATTGCTGCATTGTATGTTGTGGGTTTCTCTGCCAGTGTTTTGTTTGGCACCGGCACAGGTGTGTTGGCAGATTACTTTGGTCGCAAGCGTATGTGTATGGTGTTTTGTGTCACTTATTCTTTATGTTGTTTTCTTAAAATATTTCCTAATTATAATATTTTACTTTTGGGGAGGTTACTTGGGGGTATTTCTACATCTTTGCTTTTCTCAGTTTTCGAGTCTTGGTATGTTTACGAACACGTACAGGTATATGATTTCCCAAAGGAGTGGATCTCTATTACATTTTCAAAAGCAACATTTGGAAATGGCATTCTTGCCATCGTCGCAGGCATCATTGCTAATTTCACATCAGATGTGCTGAACTTCGGTCCTGTGTCACCTTTTATCCTTGCCATACCGTGTTTTATGTTGAGTTGTGCCGTAATGTCGAAAGCTTGGGGTGAGAACTACGGAAAGAGGCAGAAAAGTGCCAAAAATATATGTTTAGAAGGTTTACAAGTAATTTTAAAGAACAAATTGATACTTATGCTTGGTATCGTTCAATCTTTGTTTGAAAGTGTGATGTATGTATTTGTGTTTCTTTGGACTCCGATATTAGATTCTAAACACCCACCGTTAGGTATTGTTTTTTCTGTTTTTATGGTTTGCATCATGATTGGATCTTCTCTTTATCAATTGTCCATATATCTTCAGAAAAAGCCATACGAAATGTTATTGCTTGCCATTATATTAGCCACAATTTCACAAATCGGATGTAGTCTAGCCACTAAGTCTGCAGATACAAATATAATGATTGCTTATTTTTCATTTTTCCTTATTGAAATAGCTGTTGGGATTTACTTTCCCTCAATAGGGTACATTAAAAGTGAATTTATACCTGAATCCCATCGGGCAAATATAATGAATTGGTTTCGAGTGCCGCTGAACATCATAACATGTATAATGTTGTTGTCGCTTCACAAGGAATCGGCTACCAGTGGCAATTGTGTTATATTTATGATATGCTCTGCTATGATGATGCTGTGTTCTTTTATTATGATGCAGATAATCAAAGTTCTAAGGTCTATGAATACACTTCCTGATCAAATTTGTTAATTGCTTAATAATATTTTTTTGTGATCAAATTTATCAATTCATCTTTTTTTCTAAATTAAATAAAAATTAAAAAAAATATTGATTTTTATGTACATAACATTAATAAAAAATTTTGATAAGGTTTTTTCCTATTGCATTGTCTTTTGATTAATAAATTTTTAAAGGAAAGAAACAAAATAGTGACTGTGTTTTGTTATGTTTTAATTGTTTCTCTTCTTAGTGGTTATTGTTATTCTAGATATTTATTTTATTAAACGGAATAAAAATTATTTTTAATGAAAATTGTGTTGAATTTTTTTTAAAAATCATGTCACAGATTATTTTGTTTTTATATCACTTTTTATCAGTGAATAACATTTAAGATCAGTGAGTTATTTTGCTTTTCCGTTAATTTTCTTTTTTAATGATAACTTAAATTTTCTCTGTGAATTTATTATATTAACCCTTTGAAAGAAATTTCAACTTTGATTTAAATAATTTACTGTTACAAATAAAATGAATTTGCTATATTTGCAACCTAATTTGTATAAAGAATTTTTTTAATCAGAATTAAAAAGTGTAAGCATTTGTTATGTAATTTATTTTCAATTTCAGTAATTTTAAAAATTAAATTATTTTCTTCCAATTGTAATAATTTCTATTGGTCTTTAAATTGAATTAAATTTTCTTTCAGAATATGTGAATAATTCTGTAATCTGAAATTTAAATTTCTTAACTTTCGCAAAATCCTATCTTGAAATTTTTTCCTCTCTTACCAACTCCTTTTTTCTTCCAAAAGTTCTTCAACACCACGAGACTCAAAGAAACATTCCTTAATGAATTAATAATGCAAGAAGTAATTTAAAAAAACGATTGCACTTAAGTAATCGTTTGGTGTTCTTTCATTTTTTTATTTTTTTTACTTAAATACAAATTTTACAAATTCCGATTTGTTACCAAAGAATTATTAAATTCATGTGGTATATTTGTCCTATTTTTTTTCGCTTTCAATTAAATCGAATCAATATTTTTTAATGATATTATGACATAAAATTACGAATCTGGCATTGGAGTAACACTTTTCAACGCTCTGGATTAAATCGTAAATCCATGTGGTATTTCAATCATATTTTTTGAACGAGGGGGGGGCAGTCTCTGCTAATATTTTTTATAGTTTTTAAAACCTATATTATTACATAACGCAAAATACTGATCTCGGATTTGAGTAATCACTTTTTGATGATTCGCGTCTATACCATCGTAATTCCATATGGTGTTTCTTATGGCAGTTATTGCTTCGAACTTTCTTAAGTTAAGAAAGTTCGTTCAGAACTGTTTTAGAATCCCTTTCATTTATATACAAGATGATTTATGGCACGCGAAATTAGAATTGAGCTTGATAAGTTACCTTTTAACGTAACGTTATTTTTTTTTTCGATCGACTTTTTCGCAATTATTGCTGCTGATTTTCACATGATTTAATCCCGATATTTTTCATATGACATTATTGTGGGACGAGATATTCGAATCGTGCATTTAAGATATCACATTTGGACACGCTCGATTTGCTTCGAATCCATGCGTTTTTTTCTGCAATTGATTTTTTAAAATCCCGGTATATTCCACACGATATTATTACGATTCATGGAATTCAAATCGTGCATTTCACTTCACTATTTGACGCGATGATGCACTCGATTTTTTAGCAGTTGCTTCTGATTTTCGTTTTTTTTTTTTTACAAATTATAATATTTATTGAGTACAATATGCTTTATTAATTACTAGCTGAATACCCGTACTTCGCACGGGGTGAATTTAAAAAAAAAGAATCAATAAATCAGTACTGAGCAGGATTGGAGTTTTTGCCAGGGCAGTGGCAAAAACCGGCGAAAACTGGTAAAAACCAAATTATCTAAATTGCTGATTAAATATTATTACAAAATACTTGAAACAAATTTAAATCAATCATAAGGAATAATAATTTTGATACATTACATGAAAAAATTATTTTAAACATATTAATAATTAATATAAAGGCAATAATTTTTAAAATATTGAAAGTTTTTGACCTCTTTTCATTTTAGAATCCTTAAATAAATGTTTTTTTACAAATAAATAAATATTATTATTTGTATAATATTATTATTATTATATTATAAAAAATTATTATTTGTACAATAATTAACTACACATCTTAAAAGATATTTTATGCTTTAAATTATAGTTATATTAATTTAAAATAAGTTTATTTCACTGGAAAAAAGAGAATAATCGCAAATTTTCCAATCAATAATGTTTTAAACTACTAAAATGATATATTATTAAATTATGATTTAATTATGGAATAATAATTTTGTTAATTTTTTTGTTATTATTTATATTTATAGTATATATTTCAATTTTAGGAATAATTTTGCACCAAAAATGTGTTTTTGTCCTCTCATCTAGGAAAATATAGGTTTTTACCAGGACGGTTTTTACCGATATTTACCATGGTTTTTTCCACCTGCGGCAAAATCTTGCCAACCCTGGTACTGAGTAACACAACGCAATCATGCTCAAAAATGAAAGGTTTAATACCGACACAGATGATTAAAGAGCTTGATGGAAGAACCAGGTGAATGACATTTTTAGGGGAATTAATGAGTTAGATAAAATAACATAAAATCGTTGCCTCAATATGGGTATGTTTAATGTAACAGAACTATTTTTCATTTCACTTTTATCTTAACATAACTAATCCATGTTAGTTTTTAGTATGCTTGCAAGATTTTTATTTCAAATTAGGCAGTGGTAAGTAAAATAAAGCAAAGAATTATTTGTCCCACCTTCTAATAAATTGGTAATAAAATAATTCGCATACAACTTATTTTTTTGTCCTGAAAATGTCACTTGCTTGGCTCTTCCACTAGGTTTTTCAATTAATATAGCTTAAATAATTTAATTTTTTTAAATTTAATGTTACATGTTGTAATCTTCGGTGTCTTTACGTTATTGAAGTAACCAAAACTCGTTGTTTGTAATTCATACCATTGGAAAAAGGATGAAATGTATTTAGCATCACTTGGCATGATGCTAGTGCTAGCGGCCAATTCATGATAGTTAAAATTTACCACTGTTACGTGATTTTTTTCCAAGTACATATCCCTTTCGAAGGGCCGTTTGGTACTTATTACCTAACCCTTCAACATTTGAGTTTATGCATATCTTTGGGGCATCAAACTAAAGCCCATTAAAAAAAATATTAGAACTTCATAAGAATTTTGGAGTATGACCATTTCTCTTTCTGACTTTTAATTTACTATTTAAATATTTATAAGTAGTAGTGAAAAAAAGTTCTTTTAATTCTAATTCATTAAAATATTAATATACTATCTTAACTACCACTGAAAAAAATATTTTCTGAAACTACGGAAAACCCGTTGTAAAATTCTTATCAAAACCAATCGGCCAATTACCATAATACCAGTAGTACATATTACCGGCAGTGATACATATGAATTAAGCGTCAGCTGTGAATGGCGGTGTTTTACGGTTTTCTTAAACGAATTTCCCATTAATCTTTCCTTCAGGAGCTTGACTTTTTAGCACATAACTTACTTTATTTTATTTCAATACACTTTATCAATATTAATTGAGCATTAGTGTCAATATTAATATGCAGATTTTTTACGGTTACCCAAATTGCGAATAAGTATTTTTTTTTCTCCTTATTTTTGCTTTTTAGTTCAGAAATTACTTCTTTTTTTATTTCAACTAAATACACATTACCAACATTTATTAAGCATCATTGTCGTCAATGATAGTATGAAATTTTCTTACGGTATTTCAATATGCATACATTATCTTAATTAAGCATCATTGGCGTTGCTTTTTTATGTTTCTCCTAAACGAATTAGTACCACTTTCCCATTAATTTTCCTTTTGAATACATAAATATTTTTTACTTCCTATTCCATTACTGTTGGTCGTTTTAAATAAGTAATTTTTCAGAAACACGTTTAAAAGAATTAATATAAATAAAATAAGATCGCCTGGTATCAGGCAAAGTATAAATTTGTTATAATTTAATAAATTTGGTGATAATGAGAATCATGTGTGATAAAATCTGCTTATTTAATCTTGACATTTTAGAGCTTGGCATAATTACCGGCGGTTCAGTAAAATTTACTTTCCAGCTTTGAATTTTTACTAAATGATAGTGATAATAAGAATCATAATTTTGAAAATCAGAATTTCTGGTAGTATGCGCCACCATGTGAACGGAAAAATTACCGAATGAATTGTTTAGATACAATATATTTTGGTTTTATTAAGATCTTTGTTATTAGAAATGGTTATTACCATACTAGTAGATATGGTAATGACCATTCTTCGGTGCTTATGGAATCATTTTATTGCATTTTCATGTTGATTTATGTATTGAAGTTGAATTATCCCGTTTAGTAAAAGATTCAATTTTAATTGTGTTTTTATGTTGGTCATAAAAATGTGGAATTAACTTCCATGACGCCCATGGCCCGCAACGGGGTGTTGCGGGAATGCAAATATTCAAATTTGCTGACTTCGATTTTTAATTTTTTTTTTCAAAGTTAGTTTATTAAACATTTTTATTTATGTTTTATGAATTTGTTTTTACTAAATAACTAAAAAGAAATTACTTATAGTGGTGCAATGCTGTTCCTATTCTGTTTATTTTCTTCAAACCACATATTTGGTCCCAAATATAGGCCAAATGTATTTTATAAATGCCCCAAATTCATTTTTGCTGTTTTTCTAATCGCTCTGGAATAAAAAATTTCCACAAGTGGAAAATTTACTGTAAAACTTTTTTTGTTCTTTTTTCAAAATTGAATTGATTTAGCATTATGTTTTCAGACATGATATTTTTAAATAATTTAAAATATAGTTCCAAGTTGTTTAAATAGTACTGAAAACAATTTCAAAGTTAAAAGTTGTTGCTCCAAACTGCTTCAAAATTGTAAAATCGATGACTCATATTTCTCAGAACATTCAATTACATGCCTATAATAAAAATTATGTCCTTTTCATTTAAGTACAGTTTTGAAAAAAATTATTGCTTTTAACGTCCGCCAGCTTTTCTAGGTGTTTTAAACTGCTGAAAAGTAAATAGATAATAATAATAGTAATAATAATAATAAATACCCACCTTGTTAATAATAGAACTAATATAATTATAATATTATAATAAAAACTAATTATTATAATATTATTATTATAATGGTAACTAATCGTGTCCTTTTTATTAAAGCACAGTTTTTGAAAAAAAATTACTTTTAACG